AATCTCTCTGCTAAGTGCTAAGGGAATACAAATATTCCTAATATAACACAGAAAAGCTCGTAAAAACGGACGCTCTACCTCTCAGGATAAAGCTGGCTCAGAACCCAAACCATCTGTACCGCTGCTGAACGAACCTGCTCATAATCATCGCTCAAGAGCTTACAGGCCTGTCCGAGAAATGACACATTCATAAGTTAGTTATTGGAGATTACTTTTGTAATCTCACGCTCAGTAGAACACTAAAAAAAAAGATTTAAAACATACACTAAAGTTAAAAGGTTTGGGGTCAGTATGATTTTTTTGAAAGAAATGAATACTTTTATTCAGCAGGGATGCATTACATTGATTTATAATGTTACAAAATATTTCTATTTCAATAAAAAATGCTCTTCTTTTGAACTGTCTATTCATAGAGAATCCTGCATTTTTTTTTATCACGCTTTCCATTAAAATATAGAGCAGCATAACTGTTTTCAGCAATGAAAATAATACATTTCTTGAGCAGCAAATCAGCATTTTAGAATTACAATTAGAATTTCGGAAGAATCATTTGACACTGAAGAAGACTGGAGTAATGATGCTGGAAATTCAGCTTTGCATCACAGGAATAAATTATATTTTTGAACACATTTTAATAGAAAATTCTTATTTTAAATTATAATTTAAATGATAATTTTGATCAAATAAATGCAGCCTTGGTGAACATAAGATACTTATTTCAGAAACACCAAAAATCTTACCAACCCTAAACTTAAATGGTAGTGTCAGATTATTATTGTTAGTCTTGACCTGGTTATAAATAATCTGTTGAATTTTCATCTCTCTTTCATGTAGCTGCAGCTGATGGAGAAAGAAAAACACAAGTCATTTAAAGAAAGTGGCAATAAATGCTGTTTTAACACCACATTATTCTACAGAGCTCATGTACCATGGCTTTGATGGCAGCGGTGCGGACTCGAGGGTCCTGGTCCTGAAAATAGTCGCTGATCAAACTCTGTACATCCCGTACGGGTGACGTTTGTGCTCCAGGTCCCGCATCAGTCTCTTTACTGAGAGGCATATCAACCGTCCCCAGGCAGCCCAAGAGCTGGAGACACTTATTCCTCACCCCAAAATAAGTGCTTGAGAGATGCTGAGGAAAAACATGGCATGAACATAAAATATTAAAAATAATAATAATTCAGATTCAGAACAATATAAAAGCTAGTGATATCAGTATGAATAATTGATAGTGCCAAAAAGTATGACCGCAGTATTATAAGAAAGGATGAAATCGTAGTTATTGCAGTCACCTTGCAGGCCACATCTATAAGTCTCTGAATGACAGCGGTTTTGTCTGGGAGTTGAGTCCCGATGATCAGTAGCGTATCCAGCAGCTGCGCCAGAACCTGATGAGACTCTAAAACACAGATGAAATTATTAGAAAAATCTTATTTTTTATTATTAATAATGCATTTTATAAGCGTCAGAAATAGCTGCTTTAACTGGAAAACTTAAATGTTTAAAACATTCTGTCCCCAGCACCAATGCTTTTTTAATGTAATTTGATTCATATTTTGAATTAGCTTTATATATATATATATATATTTAGTTTTCATGATAGTTTTAGTTAACATCTAAAAAATCTGCTTTTGTCACTTATTTTTTTAAATATTGCTATTCAGTTTTAACTTACTTTTCATTTAATTTAATTTCAGTTTTAATTATTTTCAGTTAATCATATTAATAATTAACTTATTTCAGTTTATCATCAACGCAACATTTCAAATTTTTGTTCTAATTTAGATTTTTTTAACTAACATTTATATTTTATTTGAGCTTTATTTCAATTAACAGAATTTTTAAAATAGTTTTAGTTTGGGTTAACAATACTAGCTCTGCCCAGCATATCCTTATATTTATTTATATGACAATGTACATTCAATTTAATTAGGTGCAACTCATTCAGACATTTATATTAAGTGTCAAATGAATTTTTTTAACAGAGCCTCATGATTTTATACTTACTTTCATTGTTGAGAATGTTAATAGCATCGTCTACTATGCAGTCTGGAGTGAAGCCCTGCGTTTTTGATAATAAACCCAGCAGAGAGGCGATCTTCAGCCTGACAGAGTTATCGGACTCCTGTAGACCACATCACCGCATGTACATGTAAAGACACAGTTATTGAAAGTAATAAATAATCTTACTTTTTATTCCAAAAATATAAACTGAAATGTGCAAGTGCATATTTTTTTGAAAGCAAATGTTTTATGTCAGTATCAAGGTATGTGTATTAGCATGTTTCATGAAGCTTCTGTTTCTGACACCTTGTAATAATGCTCGAGCAGAATGCGCACGACCCCCTCCACACTCTCGGCCTCCACGGGTTTTCGTGCAAAACTCAGCAGGTACTGCAGAGCGTCTGTGGGGCTGCTGGCTTTACACAGGTCAATGTGAAGAGCGGCGGATTTACTGGGTTTGGTCAGTCGAAGTTTCTTCGTAGGAATCTCCTCTAAAGACACCTGCTGCAAAGAGACGACAACAACGAGATAAAAACATAATCTCATTCATGGTAACACATATACAATAAGGTTTCATTAGATAAAATTAGTTAACTACATTAGTTAACATTAACGTTGTTCATTTCAACATTTACTAATATATTATTAAAAATCCAAAAGTTGCATTTGTTAACATTAATTAATGCACTCTGTAGTAACATGAACAGCTGTATTTTTATTAACTAACATTAACAAAGATTTACAAATCCAGTAACATATGTATTGCTCATATATAGTTAATGTTAGTTGATACATTAACTAATGTTAACAATTGAAACCTTATTGTCAAGTGTCACCAAACTCATTTAAAAAAGCCCTGATATAAAACTGAGAAAAATAATTATATAACTTGTTATTTCAGTCCTGGTATTCTCACAACCATGGAGGATTTGCACATTCATTCTGTTATTTATTTATTATTTATTATCTGCGGCATCAACACCAATTACACACAAGCCAAATATTAAGATAAAGATTTACAGGGAAATGTTGAGTGGGAAGTTACAGTGGGACGAGAAAAAGATATGTGCATATAAAAATGTATAAATAGTGTTCCAGCTGACATGAATAAAACAATCACACCCAAATAACATGAATAAATGCCGTTGTCATTATAATAATGAATACCCACTAATGCTAAAGGCTACATGTGCTTTGCATTTATTCTAATATCTTCGTATATAATTATATTCTGTAACCAACACATATTTCATGATAGTGTATGATCAATACATATGATTTACATGTTCACCTGAGAAACTTTAGAGAATTCCTCATAAACTCGTTTTTTCAGATGAGCTGCCATAGCTGTGTTTATCCGCTCCTGCACTTCTTCGCGCACGCGCTGTTCAGTGGCGTCAGAACCTTGCGGTGAAACAGCGACGCCACGTGGGCGGAAGTCTTCAAAAATCACACTAGGACAGTTCTGGAATCGATGGCTTTGAATGTATTCAATGCCTCATACATAAAACATTATTAAATGCCTTCATATTAGACACTTCCTATTCTGATTTTTAATGAAGTAAAATTATAACAATGTACATCTTCATTATATATTTTTTCTTGAACAATGTATTAAAGCTTCATATAGAGACTGATTAAAGATTTAAATAGGCCTATCTGTTTTTAAAAAGTATAACATATAACGTAACATAATGAACTAGATAGCATAGAAATATGTAAATATTACACTAATATAAATCAAAAGAACACATTTTGAGTAATTGCATTTATTTTCAAACATTTTGAACTAAAACAACAGCTATAGTATACAAATTTAAAAGTTAAAAGGGTGGCACAACATCTCTGTGAACAACAATTTCATGAACCCACTAAGGTCTCGTTTAAATCATTCTGCTTTTCTTTCGCAACTTTTTACATATGAAGTAATAAGACAACAGGCATTCTGCTTTTTCCTAATATTATTTTGCACTTTTTATTAATGATCTCCACAAGGAAAGGGTTCTTCCCAAGTGTCTTGGCAGTGAAAAAAATGGAACAGATATTAGACAACTACAGTAGTTAAAACAGACATATTATATATACATAGCGGTATATGAAGACAAGTGGACCTTTTGTGGACGAAACATTGTATTCTTAAAGTATGCATTGGGAATGCATGAGCTGATTAAAAAGGCAATGCAATCGAATGCAATGCAAGTCACTCTGGGTAAAAGCATCAGGCAAATGCATAAATGTTAAAAGTTATAAAATGGTGCAGTTCACAGATGTGGCAAACAATTGCACTTAAGACTTAAAATAAACTGCATGAAGTGTATGTTTTACCCAGACTTCTATTTTAAGTGCATTTCTGCACACACACTTTAGTCAAAATAATATTCTGTTTGAATCCACAGCATGCCATAAATGCTGCTGATAAAACTTAACTTGTATTGAACCAGAATATTCCTTTAAAACTTAAGCCCTAGACTATAACTCATGTTTGAGCTGTTTTAACTAAAGGAAATTTGCACTGGTATATCTTAAACTATGTCAGTGCCATTGTTTGTATCAAGCTGCACACCACAAATTTTTTTCTATGGCACGTTTATAAAAGTCCCCCTGTTGTGCAAATCCAGCTTTTAATGTTGTTTATATGTCTATGTGGTGTTTTTAATATGCTTTAAGACAAACCATGTGCAAATTCATAAGTCATCAGCACCATTGCTGAGTATTTTCTCCTTAAAACTGCAGTGAACCAAAGACTGTCTCAAAAACGCGGTTTGAAATCGCTGGTGTTTCTGACGTCACAAACTACCCTGTAACCAATCACGTTAAAGTGTGATCGTCTGAGCTGGTGTGAGTGAGTGGAGGCGGGGCTAACTTGTATATTCATAGAACTGCGTACATAAATGAGGTAAGGGTGTAGTTACATTCAAGCTATTTTAAGACATGAAGATTTGATTTTTTCCCAATGAAAAAACATTTAAATATGCCATTATGGTGATCAATTTTAATTTTTAGTCAAAATCGACTACAGGGGGACTTTAAATCCTAATTGAACTAATTAAACTTTCTAACCTAAAAAGCTACTTAAACTTCCTAACCCTAACCTAATCCTGGCTTAATCTAAGACCTGTCTGTGAAACATGACAAGAGACGTCCATGCAGAAGCTATTTTCAGCCGAAAGGCCAGGATAGCATGACTTAAGTCAATATTAAACAAGGGTTGAACAGATACTGACAGATAAGATCTTCATTATACATTAGCAGCTGTCTGTCACATGGGACTGCTGAAGGAACAGATGTTTGATAAATCTGATTTGTGTGATAAGTTAATCATGTATAAAACATTCTTTCATTTTGTATACCCCTATTTCCATGTCATTAAAAGGCCTAAAATGTTGAGCCTCACACTCTTTACCACCAGGTGAAAACCAATTTATAGAAGAAGTTGTAGCTCTTAAAGAGAAACCCTTTGTCTATGCTGTGTGGTTGTATCTTTACTTTATATCCTTTGGCCTCTATGTCCGTTTTGACGCAATCTAACAGGTCATCCACTGACGCTGGAGCTTTCCACGGACCAAAGCTCACCACAGACTCTTTTGGGGTGCCGAGACTGTCAATAACATCATTGTAGCTGGCTAAATCATCTTCTGTCCTCACAACACACACGATTATATTGGAGTAGCGTGAGGCGATGGCCTCCGCTCTGGCCACCCGGACAATCACCTCCAGGTTTTCACGGTAATTCGGCACACGGGACAGAAACTGCTGTCTTCCGACCGTCTCTCCGAAGAACTGAGGCGTCTCCTCAATGGCTTTGACCAGAGGTTTGATGTCATAGTAAAGCGCCTCCTTGTGCACTTCCTGCAGGTGATCAGTAGGAACCTTCTCAGCTCTGAGGTACTCAAGGATGTATGCAAAATGAGTCCCATCACGATCTATGAAGTAACGACCCTCGGGGTCCATCCGTTTGGTGGATCCGTTAAACAGGTCTGCCAGTGTGGAGTTTGGGAATTTCCGGATGGTCCCCAGGGATGTGCTGAAGACATGACCTCCGATATTCAGCTGCACAACTTGGGATTTCTGTGGACAGAGAAAACAAGCATATAAGGTTAAAATATTTGATATGATATGAGCTCAACAGGTTATAAAGTAGTTTGTTTTAAACTTTTGATAGCCTGAAAGATGTTTACCAGTCTTTAACTAACCTCTCTTATGGTGAAATGACATAAGGCATAATTAAATACTAATACTACATAATTAAACAAGTTGAGGAATCAAGCAAAGCATCAAAATAATTTACTTCAATAAATCTCCCTGAATAATTGGTAATTAGAAAAAAGGGGGAAACCTCTCAATATTCATTTTAATCAGATTTGTAATATGCATAAATATTGCAAAACCACTAAAATTAGCAGATTTTCATATTGACATAACATTACATGCTAAAAACATGGTGTTATTTTATATATTTATGACGAACTATCACACTACCATGTAGCCTAAGCTATTTTAGTAGCCTACTGTTAAAAAAATAAAATAGAAAAATGAACTAGTTGAAGGATGCAGCAGATTTACTGCCATAAATGTTACATGCTCATTTTGAATAAAAAACCCGCTTTATTAATCTAAGTTTTTTGGTAGACTAAGGAAACTTTGTAATCAAAAAGCAAAATTCATGTGTTGTTTAATCTTTTACCAGCTTCCGCCTTAAGCATACAATACTGTTGGGAAATAACTACTTTCTTGTTACTCCAAGTATCGTGTACTAAGTACCCACAACTCCAGTGTATTTGCTTTACAGCTAATGCTGTGAAAATATACCGTGAACTTTAATAGCACTCAGACAGAGACAACGTTATAACGTGTCAAAATTAAATGAATTTTACAAAATTACACACCAGGCGATCGAAAGCATAGCCGAAACACAGAACAGCTGTTACATGAAATAGAAAGCTGAAAATGTTACAATGCGACTATTCATTTTCAAATGTAAATGTTTAATGTCTTACCGACTGTACAGCTGCTGGGGACTGTTTTCCAGGAGATTTATAGTCCGGTAAACTCATTGTCTTCAGTTAAAGCTCGAGCTCAAACAGTCAGCAACAGGAGCAGCTCAAGCTGTGTGAATCAGGTGTGCGTGTGTAACTTTATAAGATCCACCCATGGCATGACACACACACAGGTAAAGCAGACCTGATCTGCTTTCTTCATGAATAGAAAAGCAACTACTTTTCTCTTAAAAAAACAATTCTCAAATAGTTTAGTCCACTAACAAAAGTACCATGGTTAATGCTTTTGTAGTACATGGTGTCATCCGACACCTTCACAACACATCTACTCAGGTGAAGGTTATAAATTCAAAATCCCCAAATGTTTTGTGCCATAACCTGAGATTCAGGAACTAACAGTAAATGAAAACCAGTAGCCTTTAATCTTAAAAGCTCTAAGCGTAGAGATTAACACACGAGCATACCAGTGGGGTAAAGACATTCTGCATGCCTTCATATGCAACAACTACATGTATATAACAGCAGTAAATGCGGCAAAGAAAAGAAAAATTCACATCACTAACATGCATGATACACCTTTTATGGATAACATGCCTTATGACTGGATATTTACATTCTGGGACACCATCAGCCAGTAAAATGTTAAAAGCTACTAAAACCTAGAAGTACTGGAACCATTCGTAACAGATTTGAAACAACAGCACTCATTTAAATCAAATGAAAACAGACAACATTTCCCCATTTATTCTTTCATTTTTATTTTACAGAAAAGTGTAGGCCTTCCATCAATGATCAGTCAACCTGGAAGAGACAAACCTCGTTAGAATAATAATAATAAAGCATTTCAAAGACAAGTAGTCAAACAAGGAAAAACCCTTCTCAGACAAATGCCTCAAAATCTTCAATCTAAGAGGACACACGATCTCTGAGGACCTGAAGTCAGACTCACAGAACGTGAGCTTGACCCAGAATCCTCAGAGGGCGGCCTCAATCCGACTCGTCATCGAATCATCACTGAAGGGTACGTTGAGGTCATTTGACCTCAATACTGGAGTTTTAGGGTCTTACCCCTTTATGCGGTCGGCACTGGGGTTCCTGGTGGCATGACTGGGGCCTCGGCCTTGGCCCCGGCCCCCTTCTGTTCGGACACTGGGGTGGTGGGGAGGACCTCATCTTTGGGCTCCACGATACTGACGTGGTCAGGCAGGGGCTTCTTGGGGCCGATCTTGCCACTGGGATCCCAAGGAAGCATGATTTTCACCTTGATTCCAAGCACACCTACATGAACATACAAATTTAGAAAGATAAATAAAACTTTGACCAGAAGAACGATTAGTATTAATACCAACCCATTTGATCTTTACCATAAGCTTCAAAACATTCAGAACCTTCTCAGACTAACGCCTCTAAATCATCACACTGCTCTGAAAACGCACAAAACAATGCAATTCTCGTTCATTACATCACTGAAGGGAAAATAATTCGGTTCAGAGATTCCATTTGGAACAATGATTAGTTACTCAATACGCAAGACATTAGTGGTGGCATGCTAAACCAAACGGTTTTAAAATGGCAAAAGCTTTGCACATTAATATCCAAGTACTTAACAGAGATGAGCATCAGCTCAGACTTGCTGATTTGTAGGGCTGTCAACTTTAGTCGTTTAGTCGACTAATCGGTTGATGCCGTCTTGGTCGACTGACACTCATTGGTCGAGCAGTTGCATATTTTTTTTTACCAATAGAAATTCTCATTGATTTACTCCTTGATATTTATTCCTTTATAAGCAGTTATATATTACTGTATTCTAAATATAATTAGCCTATGTTTTATCCCCAACTTTAAATGCTGTAATTTAGGCTATTTTGTAACAGCGCCACAGTTTAGCACACCACGTAGAACCGCACCTGTGGCTGGCTGCACTGCGGCGCGGACGCGCTTGGAAAAAACGATGCGTCGCTTCCATTATGAGCACGCATACATGTGAAATAACGAACTTGAGCACGCAAAAGACGCGATATGTGAGCAGGCCCTTTAACGGCTTTATTATGCTGACTCAATAGATTGTGTTTTCTTATTTTTTTGTTTTTATTTGTACACTTGACACGTTTGAAAATAGCCTAAATAATGTAACAAAACGAAAATAAACCTATACAGCCTATTATTATTAGGATTGTTTTTAGGCTATTTGGGTTTATGTGTTTGTATTAAAACACCTAGATCGGCTGGACAAAAGTTAACCCATAGCTTTGAAAGTAAAGAATAATATACTGTATAAACGAGCGCTTTTGTTAGGATTTTTCATTATTTGGCAGTTTTAGCAGTTATATTTTTTGCAGCGTGTGGTGTGGTCAGGTGCACGATTGTGACTGTCACTATAGACCTATAGGACAGAGCTCCTCACTTTGCGGTTAAAAATCACTTAATTTTTAATGAATTGTATTATTCTTATAGTTTTATGTATTATTGATGTTTTTTTTCTCGTTGTTGTTTCATAAATGCTCTATGACAATTATTTAATAAATGTTCAATCAAAATGCAAAACATCGCTTTTTTTTTTTTTGGCGAGTGATCGTTGCGCAGGACAGGACTTTGGTTGCCTAAGGATTTCTTTGGTTGCCTACAGCCCAACTGATTTTATTCACAAGCTCTCAATGCAATAGATTAATTGAAACCGGTCTGTTACAACTAAATCACCTGATCGCAATGGTGATTAAATCAGATGCCACAGACCCCAAATATGTTAATGCCTGTGAGGTTCTACCACCCTAAAATGTAAATGTTTCTTATATCAAGACCCAATTCACAATAAGAAAAATTAGCAAATATTTAGAATAAATGAAGTTAATTTAAAATGGTATTTTATACATATTTTTTAAATTGCACTGCCCCCTAGAAAAAAATTAAATGCACCACAATAAGCTAAAGATTTGAGAAGGTAAAACTCTTTGAAATATTCTATGGATAAAATTTTGTTTCCATTTAGTTACATTGCATTTTTTTTACTCTGTACTGTACTGTTATAGTACTGCTTTTACTCATTTTAACGCAGCACACACTGAGGACAACAAATGTGATGAAGAAATATAAACAGAGGACGTGGAAAGAAAAAATAATCTTGAGTCCAATTAAAACCCACTGCCTGCTTTCCATCCATCCACCCTTCTCAGACAAATGCCTCATATGTCTTCAAGCGACTGGACTCGCTGCTTTGAGGACCTGAAGTCAGACGCACAGAACGTGAACCTGACCCAGAATCCTCAAACAGAACGGGCCCTTTTCCGACTCGTCATCGTATCATCACTGAAGGGAATTACAGTCGGCAAGTGTGCATATGCGCTAGGAAGTGAACATCCCATTAAAATGACTAGCTAAAGATTTGGCAAAAACAAAACTTCAAGAGAGCTATCAGTTCAATTCATCTTCCTCACCCTGTCTGAGCAGGACGTGGCGGACAGCAGTGTCAACGTAGTAGTTAACGGGGTCTCCACTGTGGATCATCAAGCCATCCACAAACTTCATGGATTTGGCTCTCTGACCTCTCAGTTTACCAGAGACGACCACCTCACAACCCTTGGCCCCACTCTCCATGATGAAGCGCAGCACACCGTAACAGGCCCTGAGGACATCAAACATATGGAAATATATAAACAGAGGATATGAAAGGAAAAATAATCTGGACTCTAATAAAAAAAACAAGCTGCCTGCTTTCTATCCATCCTTCTCAGACAAATGCCTCATATGTCTTCAAGCGACTGGACTCACTGCTTTGAGGACCTGAAGTCAGACGCACAGAACGTGAACCTGACCCAGAATCCTCAAAGACAGAACGGGCCCTTTTCCGACTCGTCATCGTATCATCACTGAAGGGAATTACAGTTGGTAAATGTGCGTGGCGTGCTAGGAAGAAAACGCTTACCTACGGACAGCCAGACCTCCGAGCAGCTTGTAGCGCAGAGACTCTGCCTGAGCGATGGCGCAGAGACCCCGGGTGGCGACCTTCTCAGCATACAGCTACAATGAAACAAGACCCAATACGTCAAAACTAACCAATGAAATTACAACTACGTAATCACCTGATAGTGTGCGATTAAATCAGATGCCATGGACCCCAAACATGTTCCTCCTTGTGAGGTTCTACCACCCTCAAATGTAACTGTTTCTTTTAAGACCCAATTTACAACAAGATATTAGTTAAGTCTAAAATATTTAGTTTCAATGAAATTACATTACATTGTTTCTACTCACAGCGTTGTACTGATATACTCCATCTACTCAATTTAATCATTTTTGGGGGGGGTTCTCATATTTTTTAAATAATTCCACTGACCCCTTGAAAATTATGCACCACAATTCACTAAAGATTTGACAAGTTAAAACTTAGTACTCATGAATCCGTTTGAAATATTTTTTGGAAAATATTTAGTTAATTACAATTCTTTTTACTCGGTACTGTACTGTTATAGTACTGCTTTTACTCATTTTAACGCAGCACACCCTGAGGACAACAAATGTGATGAAGAAATATAAACAGAGGACGTGGAAAGAATAAATAATCTGGAGTCCAATTAAAACACACTGCCTGCTTTCCATCCATCCACCCTTCTCAGACAAATGCCTCATATGTCTTCAAGCGATTGGACTCGCTGCTTTGAGGACCTAAAGTCAGACGCACAGAACGTGAACCTGACCCAGAATCCTCAAACAGAACGGGCCCTTTTCCGACTCGTCATCGTATCATCACTGAAGGGAATTACAGTCGGCAAGTGTGCTAGGATCTTCTCAGCGTACAGCTTCAATGTAACAAGACCCAAAACATCAGAACTACCCATCCCAAACTAGTTTTGGACCCCTTTTAACTTCAGGAATCTTACCTCCACACTGCCCTCGGGGAACCCAAATCGTTTCTGAACGACAGCAGTCAGTTCACGAATGCGGCGGCCTTTCTCTCCCAGGACATTCTGGGTCCTAAAAAGACAAACGGATGAAGTCATTGCACATTGCTTGAGTTAGAACTACATCAATGCTTTTAAACATGTGTGATCATGGAACTAAACAAGTGGATATAGCCCACACCTGGTGGCTAGGATGATGATTTCTGTTCTTGTTGGCGTGACACGGACCTCCACACCGGAGTACCCATCCTCGGCGAGCTCTCGGGTCAGGAACTCATTCAGTTCAGCTTTGAAGATGCCATCTGACACAAACTGATAGATAAACATTCAAATGATTAACATTCATATATTCCTAAAGCGGAAATAAAATTGCAGACAAGTGACAGTCTTATATGATCATCATACACAAATCTTACTTGCATTGTTTAGTATTAAACCCCATGACAAATGTTACACAAAGGTAAAAGACAAACCACATGCTGTTCAACACTAGAAATATTTTTGTTGTATGCACAACTGCTGATATATTTATCTCTACATATAATCCATACCTGAATTGTCAAGTTCTTGCAGTCATACTAACAAAAGCTTCCGGATACATATAAAGTGCTTAAAGGTCACTTTTATATTGTAATATACATGTTTGAACCGCACAAGTTTGAAAGTAGACTGAACGCAGCGCTGCGTTTATCTGCCATGTTTCACATCAGATTCAGTGCCGACATCATCCAGCTCAATCCACATATACAGCCTTTTAAAATCCTCATCTGAACCCCTTTAATTATAATTAAGTACCATAGTAATAATGTACAACTCTTATTTCGCACCCATGTGGTTTAAATACATATATTTGCGGTGAAATTCGTACCAACCTTTCTCTTCTTCGAGATTTGCACCGCCATCTTGTCAGAGGCCGTAGACAGGAAAAGGAATTGGCAATGGAGCGGAAGTGCACTTATGGCAAAGGATTACTTCCGTATGAATGGATGTGATGATGGGAATTGTAGTCTTTACGTTACACGCGGTAATCTCCATGGTCATGACCGCATTTTGTTTTTAAATTGTACAAAATTTAGACCTGCGACATGTAATTGCCGTCCTTCTATTATTTTCCGGATCAAACAGTTGTAATGATTTATTTAATACAATTTTTAATAGGCTAATGTATGTGAGAGAGAGAGAGAGAGAGAGAGAGAGAGAGAGAGAGAGAGAGAGAGAGAGAGAGAGAGAGAGAGAGAGAGAGAGAGAGAGAGAGAGAGAGAGAGAGCAGCACTGGCTGCCAGATACGTGTGTGTGCCACAGCTTGGAATAAAGAGTAGACCTATGTTGGTAGGCTAAGTAAAGTTAATGGACATAAACCGTGATATAAGATTTTGGCCATATTGCCCTCCAAGTCATTTATTTTCTGTGACACCTGTAAAGTCACATCCACAAACCTCTTGCGTAGTGTTTGGTCACACCACAAGGTGTCACTGTGGCCTCAAAGTTCCAGCACTGCCACTCTGAGCTCGATTGCTATGTCTGAGGTAAAACACGCCCCCCTCATTAGCATACAGAGCAATACATGTATAAATAAATAAATGTATAAATAAATAAATGTATAAATGAATAAATAAATGTGGACGGAAATGCACATACATAAATAAAAGTGAAAATAAATAAAAGTGGAAATAAATAAATGCATAAATAAATAAATGAAAAAATAAATAATTATACATAAATTATACATAAAAGTATAAATAGTCATTTATTTTATTTTTTTACATTTCTTCGCGTATTTATTAATTTATTAATTTTTATAAGTTTGGTCCTCCATAGGTGAATGTGTGTGTAATGTGTGTGTCTAACCTGTTTACCTTCTGTCCACCACAGTGACCCTCAATGTGTGTGTGTCAGTGTGTGTATTCTATTATAATAATTATTCAATATTGTGTTATGTAGGCTAGAGTCATGTTAATAACGCAATTTATATTTAAGAGAGAGAGAGAGAGAGAGAGAGAGAGAGAGAGAGAGAGAGAGAGAAAATGCCCAAAATATAAACACATCAGAGACCACTATTACCCCAAAATTAATAAAATATTGTTTAATAATGTAAAATAGTGTTTAAATAAAGTTATTTCTGCACTACAATAAAAACACATCAAAATAACAAATAAATGTAACTTTTTCTTTATTATTATTTTTATTGTCTTTTGTAAGTTGAACCACAATGTCACATTATTATTAATATTAATAAAATGAAACAGCTTTTTATATAGCTATTTTTTTCAAAACTCATTCTAATACAAAGTGAACAAAATCATGCATGGCTATGCAGCAATCAACAATACAAAATATGTATCATAGATACGTCAAAAGAAAATATAATACAGAAAATGGTATTGTAATATTCTGTAAGCCTTAAATCCTTTGTTATTTTTAGAAACTGGCTATGTATACATTTTCACACCTAATTTCTTCTTGAATCCTGACTTATGTGAGATGAATGAACATAAATATTCTGTATGATAAACATGTTTATCACATATCACAGACACAGTCTTGGCATTCTGGAAAATTGTGAATATATATTGTATATATATTTATCTTCATATCAAAACAATATGACAGTGTAAAACTACATTTTTACATATATACATTCCTTTTGGACCTCAGTGCCAAAAGCAGAATTGGTCACACTGGAACTATTTAAAACAATTGCAGTGGCATTTCATCCCAAGTAAGGTTAGGATTGACCAGAGGCGACCAAATCAATTGCTCATCCAATGGAGACAAAAGTGTTGGGCTTTGACCATCCTTCTTCCAGCTTTTACCCATCTTGGTGTCAATAACAGCATAGACCCCAACAGAACCGTCCTCATACCCTACATAGACAAACAAATCCTCTGACACAGTGAAAGTAGAGGGGTTCTTGCACAAATAGAACCTACCTACGGTCTCCCCATCAGTCAGACGTATGACTACCAGCATCGGTTTTTCATGGAGATCACAGGATATATTGTGGCACACCAGAGAGGAGAAACATATATAGACCACATATTGACCAGAAACACCAACAGTCACATATGGTTGCTGAACTGGTCCTTCGGTTCTCAAAGAGCAGAGTTTACTGTTGGAGAAGTCTAAGATGTTTATAGTGGATTCAGATATAGAAAGGATGGCATACCCCCCATCTGATGATAGGCTAAAAATCTCAGGTTGGCACAAGGAAGAGTCTGGCAACTTGAATTGATGACAAATAGTATCCTCTGTTAACCTCCAGGAGTACACAGTGCCTGAGGCTGAAGCAACAATCACATAATCTGGATGGCCATGCAGAGAATGGAAAGCAACAACATCTGACCTGTTGGAGCACGAGAAGCATTTGCTAACATTACCAGACCAGAGGCTGACAGCCAAGAGATTCCCACTGTTAAGACCTAAAAGAAAGGTGCTTTCTGGTGAAATTGCAGCATTTCTTAGAAGAGGATGAATGCTGCAAATCATGTGTCCACTCTGCAACTTCCACACCCTTGATGGACTAATCTCTGACAGGGCAACTCCACAGTTGCCCTTGGGAGTTATTAAAACCTTGTATGCTTGACTACCAGAGATTCTGTGAATATTTTCCCCACTTTTGGTGTCCCAGACATGTATGTCTCCTGTTGCAATACTCACAAGGTAGTTGCCATCTCCAGAGACGGACATAGACTCCACATGACCTTGGTGAAGGAAGCGGGCTTCTACCTTGCCACTTGATATTGCCCACTTCCACACAAGTTCTGAGCCATCTGCTGAGTAACAGCTTTCACCATTAGATCCGACAGCCACCATCTTCACCCTCTTTCCAGATTTTGGGCCCAATGCTGAAGCTGTAATGAGATCCATGTCCCACATAAGAACACTTGCACCTGTTATTGCTGCCAAGTTATTGGCTCCACATTTCAGAAGTTTACTAGCTTGACAGTTAGCAGTGTCCAGGCTCAACACACATTGTCCGGAGGAGCATTTCCAGACTAGAAGAAACGGGCAATTGCACAGTAAAGCAAGGATGAATCGTGAATTTTGATCCATTATGGCTTGCTTAAATGTTTTTCCTCTCGGGGGATTGAAGTGATCGAGTACATTAATTTGATGTATGTCAATAAGTTGTATTTGTTGCTTTTTACATATTAGGAGAATGTTGTCTCCGCTGTGGTCTGTGTTTAAAACCTGATCCTTGGTTGTGCAATGGTTCTCACCAATCAGAACTGGTTCTGTTATAATCTCAAGATTCCAAGCAAATACATTTCCTGCTTGATCTACACATGTAATCATCCCATCACCCTCAGAGTGAATCATCTCAATTAATGGTATATCTTTTGGACAAGTGAAGGTGGCTAGAAGCTTGCCATTGGGCAAATCAAATATTGTCACAGAACTTTCATTCTGTCCACAGTAAATGATATCTGCGTCCTCAGAACATGACACACAGGTTATCTCATAAGCGCAGTGCAGTTGGGTATGTTCCTCCCTATCAACAAATACACTAACAATGTTTTGTCCTCTCCACCACACAAATATCTTGTCAGAGGACACCAAGACACCCCCAAGATTGGCGTTTTCCCTGTTTTCTCTGTGTTGGGTTTGAATTTCTTTAGGCTGTGCACTAACACCTGCATCCAACAAGACAAGTTTACCGCAATGGGTACTGAGAAGGAATATGTTTTCAGAACTACTGACACTTCTGAACTGCAGATTCGAGGATTTGGTAAATTTGAAGCCTTCAAATATACCTCCATTACAAACCCAAGCAGCACCATTATCCAGTACAACCACCACAGTACCACCTTGAGATCCAGCTGACTGCATGATCTGGGAAGCTGTTGACTCTTGTAGTGTACAGTGGGTATAAGGGACTGAAGGAATTGGAGGCAACACAGTATACACTTCATTTTGTGGGATCATACCTTTAGACCTTGCTGAATTAACACATTCCTCCAATGTAGGAAAAACACTCAGAAAAGGAAGGAGTTTGGCTTGCAGTACAGTTGGGAGATAGGCTGGTTTGTTCCTCAGTAGACATGCTGAAGATCTCAAGATGATGTGGAGGAGCTGAAGTTCCCTGGGAAAAACCAACTGAGATGTCCTCTCAAGCCACAGAAACAGTTCGTCAGCCAGTTCTGCTTGCAGCATTGCCTGGAGGTATTCTTGAGAAATCATTTGGTTACCAAGTTCCTCAATTCTTCCACTTTTCAACAAATGGAAAGAGAGTCTGTAGAGTTTTCTCAAATTGGGATATGTTCTTGTTGATGGACTCATGGCAGTAGAGATATAGAAAGGAGGAGAAAAGATCCAAGGTTGACTTGGTACTTGTCTGTCAATGTAAATATTCTGTGGGACATCTGAAGCGGTTGGGATTTCCATGCCTTTGTTGATCAAAGGCTTTGCTGTGCCATTTGCCCAAAAGCCACTGAAATAATCGGACAGCACATGATTTATCTTCTGACATGTTTCTTCTAAACACAGGTACCTCTTACATATGACCAAGGGGAAGTGTCTGCTGACCCAGAAAAGAGTCTGGGTACCTAAAATGTTACTCAGCACCAGAAACCCTTTCAGGTCTGAAAGAAGACTTTCCACAAAAACTTCAGGGACCCTCAAAATAAGTGGTAAGTCATCGCCTGGTGGAAGAAAAGATGCTAGAACTTCATCATCACAAGAAAGAACATCCGTCAACTCAACTGCGGATATGCCATACCTGGCCATGGTAAGATAGCTTAAAACTTTGGAGACTAAAGCTTTCCCATGCTTCCTCTCCAGACGATCAAACATCAGAACAATGTTATTATGGACCTCTTGGACCAGAGTGTTCTCCGTAATCTCAAACCCTGAGTTCCAGTGGATTGCCTGTCTTTGAAGGAGTTCCATGTATAGCAGGACAGAGCATTTTTTAAAAGCCTGATTCACAAACATCTGTTGGCCTGAGGTGATCTTTCTGTTGGACTCCTGAAGACGTGTTGTCAGCAGCTGGCTGCAGCTTTTACTCTCTACTGGTTGCAACTCATAGAACAGGGTTGAATCTGGGTAAAACATCTTCAGGGTAGCAAGGATGGCAGGCCTGTTTGCAGTAATGGAAATGAGAAGCTTTACATTTGAAGCTAGTGATTCGGGAAGGAATGTCAAGTCAAGTTGTACATCCGTCTTTGGCAGCTGGTCAAGACCATCTATGATGAGCACCAGAGGATTCTTGGATGGTGATCTTGAGGTCATGGAGCCTTTTAAAGTTTTCTCTTAGTTCAAAGATGTTGTTGACAGAGGTACTACTTGAATCAACCCTTTCACAAAAATCTTTGAGAAGCTGTCTCAGGGAGTTGTTGACATCTATGAAGTACACAATAATCTCAGGATCCAGGTCCTTCAACCATACGGATGCCTGCAAACACAAAAGGCCTCATGAGTGTCATATTTATACTACAGTAGATAACATTTGAAGTGGATCAAAACCTTTCATCAAAGTTATACATGAATTTTTAACGATTCCTGTCTTAGGACAACTTCGATGAACTTTTTTGATCCACTTCAAATGTTGACTACTGTATATTACTAAACATATACAATCTCAAATTATTGCTTATTTATCAAATTGAAAGGTTACAAAACATTTTCTGAGAGATACCTGACTTGCACAGTGAGCCAGAAGTACAGTTTTGCCTGAGCATGGTCCACCGTTGAGTATGAAAGGAAATATTGTATTTTTTCCCCTTAGGTAGGATTTAACATGTTCGACTTCTGCCCGTTCAATTCTGTAAAGAGAGGAAAAGATGTGGCACAGGCTTTTCTGGCCAGATTCATCAACTGTAACAGCCCTTTCCTTTGAGACAGCACGGTCAATGAGTCTCTTGAGATCAGTATGTAGCTGCTCACTCAGACCAACAGCAAAGTTGAGCCTCTTCTCAGGAGTGTAACCTTGAAAACGATTGCACTTTGTGGTGGTGCAGTACACCAGGGCTTTGTGGGAGGCGACCAAACTCGGCAGGAAGTGATCTCGGAGCTGGGACAGCCGGTGCAACTGGGTTTGTTGCTCTAGAGGCACTCCATTTGGTTTCAGTGGGATAGTTATTTTATGAACATAGCAAATACATCTTGGGATATCTTCAATGGAATGGTTTTCGTAGGCATAGTGGATGTCATTTTCAAGAGCTGGTTTAAAAATAAACATAAATGAGACACTTTTGATTATGTAGTAGTTATGTGCAATTAAACAGACACTGACTTACCTGACCGGAGATATTTCTGAGCTTTGTCATGTGTCATAGTCCCCTCCTGAACACACTGGTTCACAACATCATGAAGGATTCTCCTCACCTCTGGAAGTACCTTGCACCAGTTGTTCTCTTCACTTGGATTATCTCGCTGATGACAAAAGATTAAGGAGTTTAGCTAAATTATCTGGTGCTGTGCACCAATCGTGCAAAAATATTACTTGCCTGGACACCAGGTTGATCAAAATTTCCTGTCGGATTGAGCATACAGAACGAAGGAGGAATGGCATTCTCATCTCTCTGGTAGCATCTCTCCAGTATGTCGGTCTTGAGGCCCATGCGTTGGCATACCTGAAGAACACACTGGAACTCTGAGGCTTCTATCTGCTCAGGTAAATTTGCATCTCCATATTGTTCACCCACAAACCCCTGAGACGAGAAACAAAAACTAAAATAAGATCATTTGTTACGTTTTTTTTCCCTCCAGAGAGATGGTAGAAATAATATTTTCCCACCTCACAAATATCACTTAACTAAAATGTACATTTTCATACATCTATTCACGAACTCTGCATTAAATACAAAAAGAGATGCTCTATTGTTAAGCACCTACACTGTAAAAAAAATATGATTTGTTATCACTCATTTCTTTGGTCAAATCAACCTAGATAATTAATGTGGTTCAGATAACATAATATTTTGAGTTTGTGTTGATTAAATCAATCTCCTTAATTGTATTACCTCAATACAAGTTTTACAATTTTTAATTTCAATGAACTCAACATTTGAAGGCAACCAGGTAAATCAAACAAAAAAAAAAATGTTTACAGTGAGAAACTAACCATGGTAACATCACTGTATATTAGGAACAGATCTCCCCAATCTTAAATCATGCTGTATTGAATCAAAAGTATATGTTACCACAAAGAAAGGGCCCAGAGAATTCTTCCTGCAGTCCTCCAGTATCTGCAGTCGTTCCTTTTCTGCAGGCCAGTTTTGGGGATCTGCTGCTTCATACGGGTCAATAACCTGCAGAGAGGTTGTATCCAGACAGTTATTAATCTACGATCTACCAAATGATTGGAAGAAGACTTTGTGTTAGCAGCCTATATCCCGAACTATTAGCCAAAACAACCACAATGTTTACACAGTAAATTGTCTATTGACATGCTTTTAAAGAGCAGTAACAAGAGAAGTTAAATACAATTCCAGCCAGTCTTTTGTCATTTGCATAATTAAAAATACATGATGTTTAGCTACTAGTGAGACAGTAGGAGTGCTGGTAAATGCTCAATGTTCCAATGAAAGAAATGCACATTATTTATTCATGTTTATGGATTTAAACACAATTGAGCTAGTGGTAAAAATCATTTGTTACTGTCAACTGGAAGGGAAGCAGCACAACTATAATGTTCTTTAGAATTGTTTCCAAACTGGTCAATTGACAGAAAACAGGAAAGAGAATGACGAATGTTTGCTCACTCTGAACTCAACTCCATGTGTGCATCTGCAATATTCTCTCAGTCTGGGAAAAACTCTCTGCCTTAGTAACCTCCTCTCAACCACAGATTCTGCAACACAATTTAGTAATATTATGATAGTTATACGTTGTGTTACAACTTGCTTTTATTCCTTTCAAGAACATTTGTAAAATAACCAAGTAAATGAATAACTACAATTGAAACATTTATTCGTTCAAGTGCAGATTTATCTAATAATTTAAGATTTATTTGACTAATACAAACTGTGATACATACCTTCAGGGTTGGAGCACAAATAAACTTGAACACAAGCCATCCAATTTTCTTCAGAGTGAGAGTTTCTTATTCATTCCATGTGGCAGCATAAAATTAACATGCTGAAGCATTTTGTTCTTCTAGAAATATGTGAAAAATCCACACTCATTAGCCTGTGGATGGAGTGCATGTTTTGCCTGGTATCTCATTTCCCAGCAGGAAACATGTCTCTGTTATGTACAAGGAACTCTAGGAGAACCGCCCACTCTTTAGAGAACTGACAGACAAGCAGCATGATTCGATAAACTAGTCTGATATCGTCCAACAAAAACACACCCTAGATTTTAAACAACTTGCGAAAACATTCACACACACCTATAGCATAAAAAAAGCTTACAAATGTTTTTAATGCATTAACTAACAATGAGAAATATGTTTACACCATTTATTAACCTTTGTTAAATGTTAGCCAATAAAAATGTTCACGTTTATGGTGCATTGACTAATGTTAACAGATACAACATTTGGCCTTGAAAATGTAGTAACACTTTACAATAAGGTTTCATTAGTTAACATGAACTAAGAATTAACACTACTTCTACAGCACTTATTAATGTTTATTTCAACATTTACTAATACATTATTAAAATCAAAAGTTGTATTTGTTAACATTAGTTAAAGTACTGTGAATAACATGAACAAACAATGAACAACTGGATATTTATTAACTAACATTAACACAGATTAATAAATACTGTAAAAGATACATTGCTCAGTTAGTGCATGTTAGTTAATTAACTAATGTTAACAAATGAGACCTTGTGTTGCTAAATTTAGAGATTTAAATGAACTAAGATTAATAAATGCTGTAGAAGTATTGTTAATGTTAACAAAGGAGACCTTATTGTAAAGTGTTACCAAAAACTCATATTCATAAAGAATAGGGTGAGAGGTGATTAGCCTTGTTAAAATTTTCTTCATCCACTTACAAATGTAATATATGCTGTGTTATTTTTATTTATTTATTGTATGTTTGCTTTTTTTGCAACCCCTTTTACTACAATGTGGGACTGAATAACATGTAGATAACATGAAAAATCTGATTTGTGTGATTTCATTATTTTCTATGAAATAAACATGGAATAAACACAATTTATAAATGAAAGAAATAAAATGATTTGTGACTGAATTTTATGCATTTACATGCAGCCACATCCATAAAAAAACAAAGCAGAAGCACTTTCCCCAATTTTTTATTTAACATTTGTACACAATAAATACAAATAATTTTACAGCTAATATGCAGAAAGAATATTTTTCACCTGTTCTCTGATATTGTCACTGCAGCAACAGTCAATTGTTGTTATTCCATCTGTTTTTTTGTTTGTTTAGCAGCTCGGAATCACCTTCAAATTTGAATAAATGCAAATAAAATCACTTTAGAAATAAAAACAACTAGAATATTCAGCTAATGCTATTGAAGAAGCTCCAAAGAGTTGAATCTGGCCAAGAGAACTGGGAGCGCAATTTAAAAAATGGAAATTAAAATATCAAAATTTTTGCGTTCATTTCATAGGTGAGAACGGTTTTTGACACAATGGGCTTTAACCTCTAACCATAAACTTCAAAACAAGTTTGATAACATTCAAAAGATCTCAACGAGATCAACAAGAAAATAGGTTGTGACAGAGGAAAATAGAAACAAAGGGAAGATACTCAAACATCTTCCTCTCTGATAAAAAAAGGCTACTAAACAAACGTTTTTTTGTTTCCTCCCACTTCTCACTCTCACACACGTTCTTTTCGTTACGACCCTGTTCTTGCTTAACAGAACTATGGTACCATTTCACAAAATGGATCTTTTTTTTTTATTTCTTTCCACTGTTTATAATTTATGGAATCAACATAATAACTCTGTTCTCTTTCAAACATTATGGGAAAACTACAATCAGTCACTCTCACGAGATCAATAACACGACGCTGGGCAGCTTTATCATCGAAAAGAGGCAGCTGGGACGCAAAGACATTTAAAAAAGATGATAAAATTAAGGGGTCAAAGCACTGAAATTCCAGAAAAGTGCTGGGACACATCAAGATATGCATGAAGATACTGTGAAATAATAAACGATGATGATTAATCTAAATAACAGGCATTCCTCATTTAAGATGAAATGTTTCTTCAACTGCAAATAAAAATAAAATAAAACCCATAGCTGCCCCTTGTACGGAGGAAATGCACTTAGGACACTGTAATAGGTTTGCTTTCATCGGCAGTAATTAAAACAAAACATCTCCATGATTATCCATCTTTCCGTCCACCTTTTCTGTGCTTGTTGGAGGGAATCTGTCCCATCACATCTGAAGAAAATTCATCACAATCTCAAATACTGCCATGACACTCGATAAAAGAAAAACAAAACACATCCCGTCCGGAACTCTACAGTGCCGACGGCATGAGAATAAGAAATGCGTTAGGCTGGAAAAGCACTTTAACTGATACTTGTATATTGATCTGTATATTTCCATGATTACGTTCCGCCCGAACCGGTAATGCGGAGGCGAACGTTGCAGAAACACGCTCAGAGACACCACGACATCTTTAGATCGGTCTTGCGCATATTTTTGAGGACTAAATATTAGTAATACATACAAACACTGGTCTTCATAATGAAAAGTCGAGAAAAAAGGATATAGCTATGTAGTTAGTACTTTTTCAGATCAACACAAGACAGAAGAGCAAGCTAAACCGATGGGGGGAAAAAGAGCAAAGTAACCAGCCTTCCTCTCTTTTTAACCCTCGTCCTTCTCATTCTCCTCTTCCGCATTTTTTTCCTTGTAGCCTTTTATGTACAGTTCCCTTTCTCCTTGAAGTCCATATGATCTGTGATGTTTAACGTGAATATAACATTCCTATGATGACAGTAATGTACTGTGCTATTACATATGAAATGCGTAAATAGTAGGACTATTCGTGGCTGACCCCTTTTGCACGACAACGCAGGCCTCCTGTATCCTCCAATAATTCCTTGTATTGCATGTTCGGCTCTTCAAAAGCCCGCTGAAGAGATGGATGTGCAAGTGAAGCCTCTTTTAGCACCTGCTAAACCCCTGTATTTGATTCCTTTCTGTGTTTTTAGATGCAAACCTAATCATTTACTGGCATTGAGTGGATAAACCAAGTTTTAAACAAGTTCCCGTTGCACAATAAAGTAATTACGAATACAAGGATTAGAGTTTGGCATGAAAGCGTTTAAGGCACCAAACAGTCCGTGACGCCAAAAGAGGTGTTTGTTTTTCTGAAAAAGAGTGGCGGTGTCTTTGAGACGCTGTTCTCCGCCCACTCGGGGTTTAAGGATGCTCATAGGGCAGGTTAACGCACACCCCGCCCCTTCCATAAGGAGTGGGAGTGGTCAGAGGTCAGATGGGGTTTGTTGTCAGTCCACTAGGGCGGCGCTCTACACCAGCGTGATCTCCACTTCTTCGGTTTTCTCCACCTGTCTGCGAGCGTGCTGCTTTGGAGGAGGTGGTGCCGCCCGAACCTAAAGAAACACAAAATAAACCAGATTAATACAGAACAGCTAGCTTATAAAACGTGTAGGTCATGAAAAATAAATTATATGCTGAAATATGCATAAATGATTTATTATAACAGGTTCACTTAAAGGTGCTCTATGGAACTTTTAGCGGCCTCTAGTGGTGATGTTTCAGATTGGAACAAGAGCGCTCGTGCGCGTGCTCGATCTCAGGAGCGAGCATTCACTACCGGCCACACGGAGACTTTCAACGCAACGGCGAAAGCATCACACAACATGCTGGAAACTCATGTAAACTCCCACTGCAACGTTACAATAATAGGCTACTTTTATCAGCTTGACGTTGAACTAATGCTCCATGCTCGTACCATGATAACGTTACATTGACTGCATTTAGCCGACATGTGGTGTTATCTAGCATAGCCTACGGCATTTCACTAACTATTCGTGTATCTTTCACAATCAACAATGTCAACATGGGTGAATGTATAATATGATAACGAAAACGGTTAGTGAACTAGACTGAACAATGTCAGTGTAACAGTAAGACAGTAGGAAGTAACATTACTGTACTGAACGTGTCTGGAAATGTTTATTATAAACAATATGATAGTGGGATGAATTACGTTATAGCGTAACGATCTATAACGTAGATCTAGTACATAAAACAAGTATCCTAAAGCACCTTTTCTTATCCTGGAACAGTCTTTTGTGTCTCATGTAGTTTACCTTGCTATTCATTTGAGTTTACTAATAATTCAAAAGCTCTGCCGATGTTGATCCGTGTTTTCGTCCTGAGTCGATCAGAATCACGTTTGGCCTGACGAGCTTCAGCAGATAAAACTTTGTTTTGTTTTTTATATTTATGTGGAATTAGTGTTGGATGTGTGTTGTGCTGGAGGCAGGTCGTTTTTGGGTGTTATCAGACTCCATGTCGTCAGCTGCAGTGCCGTCGGTCGCATAGACTGTATATAAGGAGAGAGGCTCGGGAGCGCGCATGCACGTCACATCCGATGGATTTCGCGGTAAATCCGACCCGGAGACTTCACATATAAATATGAATATTGGCCTTCAGAGGTAATAGCAAAACCCGACAAGTGGATCATTGTAATGTGTGATTACAACCCCTTCACACACAGGCAATAAAAAAAGGATTCATTTTAGAAGAAAAGTTCCATATAGCACCTTTAAAAGTTGAAAATTGTTATATATTTTTGAAGCCTATTAAATGTTAAAAATGACGGATTTCATTTATACTGTAACACTGAATGGCTATAATTAGTCATTTCATCCTTAGATACTGAGAAAAAAATTATTTAATAGAGACATCAGTCAGTAGCATTATTGGAATAGGTGATTCTGGCCTTCATTCATGGTACTTAGTAAAAAGATGCCATTAAACAAATATTTAAAATAAACCGTCTTTATGTTGTTTCTACATTAATTTGGATATTTAATGTGAAAATATGTATTCCTTTAATTTTATTGATGATAAATATAATCTGTTATATTTGGGGGATGAAATATGGTCTGTATATTTCATTTTTACATTTATAAAATTATATATTTTACATTTATAAAATTATATATTTCTCTGGACTTTAAAGCTCTAGTGATCTGAAAACAAAGTGAGCAATCACTTAGCAATCTAGTTTTTTGAAACTATATTTTTCTAAATGTAAGAAACTGCACAATCGTACACATAATGGTTTTAAAATGTAATATTGGGACATTAGAGCAGGATGTTCATAAAACAGCCAAAGACAGATTGGTTCACATACAGGTCTGAGTTTTCCAGGTCCGGATCCATCTGGAGTGAGTCTCAACGGCTGAGAGAAGCCTGGGCTCTCTGGACTTAAGCTGGAATTGTGATCTAAACCAAATGTAAAACATTCTCAAATGAAAATCTTAACAGACATGAATATAGAGAGTAACACAAGACGACAGTAGCTGCGGCGACTAGCGTCTTACTATGGACAGCGGCTTTCTGCAGGATGGGCAGTTTGTGTTCCCCGTTGACAGACGGTGAGCGGGGCAGTGAGGGAGCACTGCTGGTCTCCGGGCTCGTGTACGGACTGCAGGGCGGCTGGTCGTACAGCGGCAGAGGAGGAAGTGATGAATGAAGCCTTTGGCACGGGGACACCTGGGGAGGACAACACATGTTACAATGCTAAGCTAGCGTATATACAAACCTTTCGGTGTCAGATTTGGTTAATATACACTACCATTCAAAAGTTTGAGTACGATTTTTTTCAAATTAATACTTTTATTCAGCAAGGATGCATGAAATTGATCAAAAGTGACAGTAAAGTAATTTAAAGATTTCTATTTCAAATAAATGCCGTTCTTCTGAACTTTCTGTTCATCAAAAAATCCTGAAAAAAATGTATCACGGTTTGTTTCCAAAAAAATAAATAGAAGCAGCACAACTGTTTTTAACATCGATAATAATAAGAAATGTTTCTTGAGAAGCAAATCAGCAGGTTAGACTGATTTCTGAAGGATCATGTGACACTGAAGACTGGAGTAATGATGCTGAAAATACAGCTTTGCATCACAGGAATAAATTACATTTTAAAATAGAAAACAGTTAATTTAAACTGTAATAATATTTCACAATATTGGCATTTTTACTGTATTTTTGATCAAATAAATGCAGCCTTGGTGAGCAGAAGAGACTTCTTTTAAAAACGTTAGAAATATTACAGAGCCAGTCTTTTGAACGGACTGGTAGTGTACTGTTTTATTAAATTATATAAAACTCAGAATCATAAAGAGGTATTTAATTGTCAAAGAACACACATTTATGATTATCTTAGACATACCAACTAGCAAAATAGCTTAACGTCCTTACACAAAAACATCTGACAGCAAAATTCTGCGATTGACTATTCAGAATCAAGTATTCCAGAGAATCGTGTAATGAATTATATAATGCTATATTATCCACATTAAAGTATAGTTTTATTATGACTGTATTCACATGATTAGGATAATAAGAAAGGCTTTGATCTGGCACGACCCCGGATGGCATTGATTACAGGAAGGAAGTGTCCACGCCTGTAATCAAGGGCAGGACTCCGACATCAAACCCACAATGAGTATGGACAGAGTCTCATGGTCATTTACTGGTCAGAGTGAGTTTCGGATGTCTTACCTGTGTGTCTGTTCCCCAGTGAGTGTCTCCGTTTTCTGAGGCTGTCAGGTCCTCCACCAGCACGGACGGAAAGACGCCCACTCGACCGTTAAACTCTCCCTCCCAGAAGCCGTCGTCCTCCTGGTTGTCCTTGTTGAGGATGCGGATGATGGCTCCCTCTGGGAATGACAACTCGTCATCCGTCTGACCCTCGTAGTCATACATGGCCTTCACAAAACTCACTGGGAGAGAAAAAGAAGAAAAGAAAGGGGCTATTAATAGGTGTGAAGATAGCAAGCTCTTTTGAGTTATTTTAAATATGTTGGATACATCTTAAAGGCACAAGCTCACTAGCTAGGGACTGTATCCATAAAAAAAAAAACAACACCACTGTTCAAAAGTTTTGGGTGGTAAGATTTGTAATGTTTTTGTCTCTTCTGCTCACTAAGGCTACATTTATTTGATACAAAATACAGTAAAAACAGCAATACTGTGAAATATTATTACAATATAAAAGAACTCTCTTAATCCTGTGATCAAAGCTCAATTTTCAGCAGCATTACTCCAGTCTTCGGTGTCACATGATCCTTCAGAAATCATTCTAATATGCTGATTTGCTGCTCAAGAAGCTTATTATTATTATCGATGTTGAAAACAGTTGCTGCTATATATTTCTGTGGAAACAGTGATACATTATTTATTTCATGATACTTTGATGACTTTTGTAATATTTTAAATGTCTTTACTGTCACATCTGATGACAGCATCCTTGATGAATAAAAGAATGAATTTATGTCTTACTGACCTCAAACGTTTGAACTGTAGTGTATGTTGACTATTTTTTAGACTTTTCAGTCTTGGAAATATCATGGGATTTTAACATTTCCAAGTTCTCAATGATTGTGAGACCATGTCCAAAAACACAACAAAACATGGTAGTACTAGTACCATAGTGCTTTTGACACATTTTTATTAATGAAGGCCAGAATGAATATTTCGATGCATTGTGACTCACATCATCAGCATTCACCTGTCTCTGTGTGTGTGTTTGACTCACTGCTGCTGTCTCCGTTGAAGCTGCCTGATGCCAGCTCAGGCTCGGTGGAGTTGCTGGAGGAGTGTGAACGTGCGTCCAGAGCAGCGAGGGACTGGAGCATGCTTAGCACGCTGTTGGACGTGGGGAACTGCAGGTACTTCTCTGGAACATAGCCCACATGGCCGGACTTATTTCGCGCCTGGAACCAACATTTACATCATTAAGCATTAAGTCATCTATGACCGGGGCCAAACAGAATCTGCAGACTTGAACCCCATTTTCTTAACTGATTTTGGGGTGAAAAATATGGAACGGTTAAAAATGGGAAGAAATGAAAATTCACCCTAAATTTATATTTAAATGCATGGAATAGATCTTATTGTGAACAAATCATCCATGCAGTTTTCTTCTTTTTTTTTTTTTTACCTTCAAAATGTCATAACTGGATCTCCCAGTGAAGATGTCAGACGTTTCGCTGGTGACATGCTCAAAACCCATCCCTCCACAACTGACTACAAATTTGCATTCATTTTTAAACCAACAACCTTGTCCAAGCTCTTGTTCTATCCGGACTGGGCTATTGTAATGCTTTCTTGGCAGGCCTTCCAGCATGTACTGTCAAACCTCTGCAACCGATCCTGAATGCAGCAGCAAGAGTGGCCTTTAATAAGCTGAAGAGAGCACACGTCACTCCTCTCTTCATCAATTTGCACTGGTTGCCAATAGCAGTTTGCATCAAATTCAAGACATGGATGTTTGCCTACAGAACAACCACTGGCTCTGCACCCCTATACCTAAACTCAGTCACTACGTCAGACTTATGTGCCCTACAGAAGCTTGTGCTTTGCAAGTGAACGGCGCATTGTGGTGCCATTCCAAAGAGGCACAAAATCACTTTCACAGACCTTTACCTGGACTGTTCCCTGCTAGTGGAATGACCAGGCCAACATTTTTTTTTCCAAAAACGACTGAAGACGCATCTTTTTCGTCAACACTTGACCCATTAATACTAACACTTACTATTCTATTTCTATTCTATCTATCTATTTATTTACTGTACTGTGTACTGTGCTAGACTAACTGGGACTTGTCACATGACTTGCATACTGTTGCCCAACTGTTAGCCCCCATCCACACTACTACGTTTTAGATTAGAAACGGAGACCTTTTGCTACGTTTGCACCTCCCATTCAGACTAAAACGGCAAAAACGAAGACCTAAAACGGATAAGTTTAGAAACGCTGCCGTTTTGAATCTCCGGAGGGCGTTTTAGTGAAGATGGGTCAAAACGGAGGACTTTAGAAATGATGATGCGGAGGCTCACGCTCGGCTCTCTGGTTGGGTGTCATCAGTCATGGCAAGCGTTTCTGACTTTGATGTCTTTGCTAGCAGCTGTTGTGAAAGTAAATTCTGCCTTTTTTCAATGCTATAACTGCGTACATGCGCCGGAGGCAAGCTATTATTCGAGCGATCTGTGACAATTCCCATGTGCAGCGGCGGTATCGAACGTACATGGAGCGTCGCTCTTTGCAGAGATAACTTAGCTACTTTCTTCTTTGTCAAATCTGAGGAATAGTCCATCTGTTTCCTGTTTACACCGGCACTCGCATGCCCAGTGTAGGTGAATGGTCACGTGATCCGCGTTTTCAGTCGTTTTAATGTGGACGGATATCAATTCTAATACGCAGCTAAAACGCTGGTGTGGACGGAGATCGTATTCGTTTTAATTCTCCGTTTCTAAACTAAAACGCAGTAGTGTGGATGGGGCCTTAGTTTGACTGCTTCTATTGTTTTCCTCATTTTGAAGTCGCTTTGGATAAAAGTGTCTGCTAAATGATTAAACGTAAAAAGTAAATGCAACCTACATAATTTTCTTTTTTCGATAATCCGTTTCACTCTGATATACGCCACAATATGAAAAAAAAGATGTTGCTAGTTGCGTTTCATTGACTTTAAATATAGAAGCTAAAAGAATAAGATTATTTCTAAAAATATACTAAACCAAAAAATGCAATAATCAAACTGGAATCATCACCCACTCAGAGCTCAGCAGAAATATTTCCACAGAATTCAAAGAACCGTCATTCAAAAAGCTGGTGTAGACCTTTCAGAAGAACAGTTGTTGGAATTCTGTGGAAATCTTGTCTTGAGCTCTAAAACACAAACATTTTTTCTCCTGTACATCTTCTAGAATTGTAGTCTGATTGATTTGGGATAAAAAATAAACTTCAGCAGGTGGTGTTAAACTGCTAAAATAACCAATGGTATGATTGGTTCACCTTCACCCAGTCCTCCATGTCCCCGTCTTCTATAACCTCCAACATCTCATGCTCATCGATCGTTAGTTCATCGGGTTGAGAGGCCTGGGAGAAAGAGAGAGGTGAAAAGACTATTGAGCAATACAAGGCCAACTGTGTGGGTTAATATTTCTCCAGAAACCAGCAGACATTTTAGCAGTTTCGCAGACACAACCATTACAAATAAGAGAACGGATCCTGGAAGACAGTAAAGTGCAGGGGGATTTTTTAAATATTTATTTTGTTTGGCTGCAGTATTATGAAAAAAATTCCAGCATGCATTATAAAATGCCAGCCTGAACTGGCTGCATTGAAAGAATAAATGTGAAAGCGGTAAACTGCAGCCCTAGTACTGACCAACATCAGCATTTTCAGCAGATCAGTTAGGACGTCATGTTATGCGAATCCTAAATAACATAATTAATATTCATGAGCCAAGCTGCTGAGCAAGTAAACTCCCTGAGGAGAAAAGATGTTAACAACAGAGATGCCATCTTTGACTAATGTTATTGCTAAGCTAATGTTTCTAAATATATTTGCAAATTGACTAGCTTTTAGTTGTTAGTATAATAAACCGAATAGGGACAGACATTTGAGACTTATTCCAACAGTGTCATGTGTGTTATAACAAAATTCAATTCAAATTCAAATGTAATAGGTTGGTTTCACGTGACGTCACGCTGCTGCATCGCGAGAGCGCGAAAATTCAGATGGAGGGCAGGAAGTGAAATAGCTGAGGATCTGCCATCAAAGTTTTGTGTAGTTTACGGCGGCTCCAATCGTTCTAATCGAGAAAAGGGAAAGGGTTTTTATAGAGTACCAAAGATTGTCATTCATAAAAGCTCACGGAACAACGCCGTAAAAAGTGGATTTTTAACGTAACGTTACGTCTGCGGTTTGGGAGGAGCAGAGTCTGTTAATGCCGTGTCTCTGCAGGTATGTTAGCTAGCCAACGTGTTTTTTTGTGTCTGTGTTTATATAGCATTAGGTTGTCGTTCAGGGGATCAGTGGGAATGGGACATTAAATGATCAAGGTAAAGTAGACTCAATACGGACTCTCCGCAACGGTTTCCTCCATAGACGTATTCTCCATGTTTACTTCCTGCCCTCCATCTGAAATCGCCCCCGCCTTCCCGCGTCACATCATAATCACGTGACTGAAACCCCCAGCTATAGAGTGCCAAAGTTACGACGTCACTCTCTAGGCCAAAACGCGGAAGTGAGTTAGCATTTTAGCACTCCCGGTTCCCTCGCTCTAAAGTCTATGGGATTTTTGAATGGGTTTTTGCTAAATCGCCTGAAATAAGGTCTGTGGTGAACAAAGCCTCTAAATATTTTCACGTTTTGATCTATGACATAGAACACAGAGTTATAACCTGCTTGTGGTTTTTTAAACTTTATTGTGTCTGCTTGTGTTTTTAAAATTTTTTATATAGGCTTCAAAAAGTATAAATTTTGGATTAACTTGTAAAGATTATCTTGATAGACAAAACGTGTAAGGGTCACAACTCTTTGTTATACACAGATCTTATTTTTTGCGATTTTCCAAAAGTCTATGGGGAAAATGCATAGCTTTTCGATCGAGGGAACCCATGCGCCGCTAGCTTCCGAATTGTCCTACAAAGTGACGTCATCACTTCTGCACTCATTTCTTCAAAGTTTGATTTTTTTCTTGAAGTTTGATGTGTAAACTAGGTATTTTAAACAATGTCATATCTGTGACTTTGATGAGGTTTATTACATGTTATTTTAGTACTATTAATACTATTATAGGATTTATCAATATTTTGCATTTGTTAACTTTTATTTGTATATATTTAGCTTTAATTTTATTTCAAGTTTTTGTAATTTTGTTATGTGCTTCTGTCACTGATATTATTATTATTTTAAATAGTTCTATTTAGCTTTTATTTAAGATTTAGTCATTTTTGTACTTCAACTTATTTTTAGTTAGTTGCCAAGGAAATATTTTCATTTAAAGGTGCAGTGTGTATTTTTAGCGACATCTAGCGGTTCGGTTGCGAGTTGCATTAATGGCTCAGCCCACTGCTCACCCCTCCCTTTCGAAGAACCTACGGTGGCTAAAACGGGACAAACATCGAGACAGCAGAGAATAGCCAGCCCAGAGTAAACCAAGTTTCTGTACAACAGTCCATTATAAACCACATCATGGATAAAGTTTACAAAGCCATAGTCAGGTGAGGATGAAGGGTCTTAATACATACTATAATAATAGTAATCAACTGATTGTCTCACAAACGTAACCAGCACATTTCTCCCCACATAGCAAACCCATAATACAGCTAGGGAGAAGAACCACATGAGACTATGCAACTATATATTTTTTCTAACAGGGTAGTAAAAGTTTAGCTGGCTAATATGAGCTGTTACTGTGGCTGAGCTGGTTAAAGCGTAAAGCCTTGTTTATACTGGACGCATCCGAATGAGCCCAAAGGTGCGCGCGGCAAAAATGACGTGATTGTAACAGCGCGCGCGCCTCCGCATCCCCTAGACACCATTTACTACACACAATAGGCTTTTTTTTCTCTGATTTTGGAAACTCGATCGACTTAAAATGCTTCCAAGATCGACGGGTTGGTGATTCCTGTAACTGTTTTACGGTCAATAACAAGAGTAGCCTACTAATCAGCTGTCTCATGAACGTAACCAGCACATTTATCCCCACATAGCAAAGCCATAACACAGCGAGGGAGAAGAATTAAGTTACATGAAACAATCCAACTACATATTTTAGTTGGATTACACCACTGACAAGGGAAAAGTCACTACTCACTGTGTCTATGGCTAGCTTCTAGCTTTCTGCTGCTTCTCTTTCAATGTAGTGATGAAACGCGCTCTGTAGCGCTGTTTGTTCGCCGTCGGCTACGATAGAAACATGACATCACAATATGTCGACCTTTATAGATGGGGGTCCCGCGGTTATGGAGATATAAATGCCTCATTCTAAGGTAATAAAAACATTACGGTTTATTAAGTAAGTTCTTTATACAGCACTGAACACATAGTTATGGATGTCATATCGCATTTCTGTTAATAGATACTAAATTTTTACACATTGCACCTTTAAGTTTTTTTAAATTTAGTTTTTTCATCTAATATTTACATTTAATTTTATTTCAGCTTTATTTCCATTAAAAAAAGTTTGTTTTAGTTACAAATAACACACATTTCAGACAGTTCCTAAGCCCCAGTTAAATGTGTGTTTAAATAAATAAAGGTATTTTTACATTCTATAGCCTATTTATTTTAATAAATGCAAAACGTGAAACAAGATAGTTTTTTAAAAAAAAAAGAAGAGCTATTATAGAAAGTGCTTTTGTTTATGGTTGTGGATTAGTTAAGTGATTGTGTCTATTTATTATAAATTAATACATTTTTCCAAGCAAGTTTTTAGTTTTTAATTTGATGTAAAACATCAATTTAAAAACAATTTATAACATTTTATTTGAAATAAAATGATATTAATACATTATAAATATTGATTATACATAAATATTCATGATTCAGTAAGTTTCAGTTTTTCATCTAAAATTTTTATTTTAGCTTTATTTCAATGAACAAAATCACTGGTCGCCACAGTTTTCAGAACATTCGTAAGCCCCAGTTAAATGTGTGAATTTACCTTGTACGAGTAGAGCACCTTGCAGGTGAGCGGGTAGTTCCTCAGGGTTCCTGAAGGACTTGAGCTGCTGTCGTCGTACGTCTCCATGTTCTCTTCTAATTCTTCTCCTTCCTCTCTGTCCAAATCCACTGTGGTCTACAGAAACATGACAATGCGTGTCACTACTCTGACAAACACCACGGCTCGCTTGTTGATTCAGTATCATTCAATAAACTCAAAAAAGTTTGCCTGAGGGTTTCTTTGTGGGTTAACATACAACTGCATGGAACAAACAGCTCAAAAGACCAGCGTTCCAGAGGTGTGTTAGTTACCTAGTTACCGCCCACCAATCTCATTGGCCTTGTGGGGATCAGGAGAACATTTTTCCCCAAGAGACAAAATGTAGCAACAGAAAAATCAACAAAAGACACAGGCATTGGACACTCATACCTCCTCAGTTGTTCACTGTATCTCTCACATTACTAGTTTTAACTGGTTACAATAGGTTCAGGTTGAAAACTGATCCTTCAGTGAAGGTCAAGAGAACTTTCACTGGGAGTCTGAATCATGAGGCCAGACGAGGTCATTGTAATCTGTAACCTGTGATGTGGTGGGCGGTGACTGATATTTAGGCTACGCCCAAGGCTGACATAAACAGCCTTAGACTGAAGCACTGGAGTGTGAGAAAACACTGAGGTCACTGTTATCTTAACCTTATATAGCCTAAGCCTACTGTCTCATATTTGATAGGCAAATTTAAAGGCCTCTAAATTATCAACATGATCAAAACCTTCCATAAAAACCTATTGCACACAATCTACTACATGCCTCGTCTGATTGATAGTTTATACTATTTTTTTTAGCAAATAAAAGCCTTTTAGTGTAAATGTCCACCTAAAGGTTGCTGTGAAATCTTAACTGATTTTTATAATGTAAGAATAACTTTTATATTGTTAGTAATATTTCAAAATGAACACAGTTCGATTTCACCGGCTCCCCGTAGAACGACTGGGTGTTGTCGCGTTTATTTCTGCTGTGACTGGAAGGGTAAATCATATTAACTATTAAGTAAAAATGTTCAGAGCTTATAGTCATTATCAACATAAATTTGATCACAATCTGATTATGATATTGTTTATCACACAGCCCAATATTAAACCACAGTCAGAGGTCAATCTGTCTACGTTGTGGGCTAAACTGGCACATTATTAAAATTTCTGTCTTACCTTTACAATTACCTTAATGTACCACGCTACACTGGTGCTTTACTGTAGTACTACTCTATAAGCTATGTTCACACGCTAGTCTCGCAGTATTCACGCTTTACTCAAGTACTATGGCGTATATATATATAAAGTTATGCTCAAATTTCACTTCAGATTAGAGTCAACTTGCAGCACTTCACTGACGCTCTTAGTGCGCAAAACCATGGAGGCCCTAAAGGGACATGGTGGTGGAAAAAAATATGAGATGGGAAGAAAAGTAACAAGTTATTTGCGAGAGAACACAAAGTTTTTCAAGGAACGCAAACGTTTTTTTGAGGGAACGTATAGGTTTTGCAAGCAAACGCAATGTTTCTCACAAACTACCTTGTAACCAATCAAGTAAACGTGCGGGCGGGCTTTAGCATATCATTAACTATTCTCAGAAGCAGGAGGGTCTCAAGAGAAGCCAGGTTATCCTGGTATTTTTTTTCCTGTTGATATGAAAAATCAGGTACATTTAGCACTATAGCGGGTGAATTATGTATATGATGTATATTATGATGTCATGATGATCTATATGACTTTCTCCACTGACGTTGAGTTGTTCAAGCGTTTCTAAGGATTTCTTAACGTTTCTGATTTTTAGAAGGCAGCTGTCTGACTCTGAGATGGCGAACGGGTTTATGTAACATTAGCAACACATTATTAGCTGTTTGATAACATAGTCAAGCCAAAGGGTAATTATATTTATTACCGTTATTTGTCCCATGTCGCTCTTCCACTTCTTCTGAATCAGTTTCTGGTTCAAACATGTATGGCTGATTTAAACCAGTGTTTCCACTTGCCATTGTGCAGCATTTACTACAGTGAAGTTGACAGAGGGGATCAGGTATTCTAAGCTGGTGTGAGTGAGGGGAGGCGGAGCTAATTAGCATATTCATGCATCCGTGAATACTAAATGAGGCAAGGGATTAGAGTTACATTCAAGCTATTTTAAGGCACAAAGAAAACATTTACACAGGAAAAAAACATTTAAATGTGTCATTTTGGTGATTAAAGATGGATTTTAAGGGATGAAATGATTGACTACAGGGGGACTTTAACAGATGTTTTAATCATAAAAAGTGAGAACAAGATAATTTTTTTATGGATAATAGGAGGTGGCTTTGTTTATGGTTATGGATAAGTTGTGCTTGCGGAAGAGTGTCCTTATTTATTTATTATATAAATATTTAACATTTGTACATGAATAAATTCTATATATATATATATATGTGTGTGTGTTTGTACAGTATATGTATATGTCTCTCCAACCACTGTCTCATCCATATTTCTACAATTATGTGCCAATCATTGCAAAAACCACAGCAAGATCTTCCTCCATCTCGGAGGAAGATCTTCTACTGAAATGTGCACTAGTGTGTGTGAATAATTAAAGTTGGGGATGTAAATATGTAAAGTGTGCACCAAAATATATATGAAACAGTATGTGTTCAAATGTGCTTTGGTTTAGACTGTGTAATTGGCATAAATGACAATATTCAACCAAGTGCTCATAACTCACTGTCACATCCTCTAGCGTCTCAAAAGGATTTGTTCTCTCTCTTGCAATGATAACAAACACATGTGTAAAGGGTCTGTGTCTTGTGTTCGGGGGAATGTAGGTGAGGTTTTGCTGCTGTCATCAACATTATTTCTCCCTGACTGATGGAGATGCCGTGGCATATGGGCTAAACTGTTTATTTAGCAGGGTCTGAATACAATGACGCTGACAGAATCAGGAAGGGTCGGGTCGGGGAGGTCGAACTAACTACTGGGCACCAGGGGTGTCATAATAGGGATGTCGTAACGCCACAACTTCCTTAACTTCCAATTGGAAATGATTACACAGGTGAGAAAATCTGAATGTCAAACCACTTCATAGGGACTTTTATTTGTGATAAAGAGGGTTCTCACCGAGATAGAAAGATCATGGGTAGTGAGGGTGGGTAGCGTCGCCCAGCGCTCATTCTCCAGCTCTTCCATCACCTGGTTCATGGCGCTCTTCAACCACGTGTCCACAGAAACGCCCACCTGCCGCAGAAGGTCCAAACGCGCCTCTGCTTTAAGCTTTATCGTCTGAAAAAGACAAACAGAGTAAAAGATATATAAGTTGTTCTGTTTATACAACCGCTTACATATACTGTAATATTCAAGCAGCAACTTGTTAGTTAGTTGTCAAGTGTGGTTTAGTTCAGTCCAGGATGAATTGAAGATGATCTGAAATTAAATTTAACATTAAATATAAATATTAGATGAAAAACTTAAAACTTTTTTTTATTAGAAACGCTGCTAAGTTGAAGTACTAAAATTACTAAAACTAACACAAAAAAAGCTAAATAGGAATATAAAAAATAATACAAATGACAAAAGTACATAAAATTACTAAATATTGTTTTCTAATTATAATGTTTTAAAAAAAGTGAATTTAATAAAAAAAAAAAAAAAGTTTGTCCTGTTTATACAATATCTTACATACTGTAGTATTCAAGCAGCTACTTATGAATGAATTGTTAACTATTAAAAAACATTTTACAAATGAAAAAAATAAAACAAAAAATTTAAAAATGTGAAATTTCGCTTTGGCAACTAAATGAAACAATTATGCTAATGTTTAAGTACTAAAATGACTAATAAAGTGAAATAAAAATAAAGCTAAACAAAAATATATATATATAAAAATACAAATAAAGTTGAAATACTTTTTTCATTATTATTTAAATTTTTAACAATATAAAATGAGAAATGTTGCTTTGGCAGCTAACAGAAATAAAATAAGTTGAAGTACTAAAATGACTAAAACTAAAAATGTAAATACAATTATTAATAATATAATATAAAAAAAAATAATAAAAATGACAAAAGGCAAATAACAAAATTACTAAAACTTCAACTAAAATGAAAACGGAAAATATAAAAATAAAAGTAAATTCAAAATATTAATTACAATAGTATATAATATTATAACAGTATAAAAACAATACTAAAATAACACTGGTTCAGTCAAGGTTTACCAAACTCACTCTCACAATGCAATTCTGGGTCCTGGAAATGTAAAGGGTGTCAGTTTGATCATTAAACGTGGCTGTCACAAACAGTCGTTGTGAGAAAGTAGCCTTGGAAAGCATACAAATCTGCATTTAAAAAACAACAACACTGTCGAGGAAAACAGATACATTAAAAACTGCTGGGAGTGTGAGCGTCACTGAAGCTCGATATCCAAACACAGGCCGTTGAGCTCTCAGAAGTCAATGTCTAGGTAGTTCTCCTCATTAGACAGGTGAGGCGTCTGATCTCAGAGGAGCGTACAGCTGGCCTTGCACACTTCAGCTTTTCTCATTATTAAGCAAAGATGCAAATTAACTTCCTGAAGACTCATCAGTTTCAATTTACAGACGACAAACAGCATTTGGAAGCTGCTTCGGAGTATTAAAATTATGTACGACTTTCATTTCCATGTAATTCTGAGGGGGACAAACATTTTCAAAGGAAACAATTAAAGTGCAATTATACTTTTAATATTTGTTGATGAGCAAACACAGACTCCTCTGGCACATTGCCTGGTGCCAAATAAAAGCTTACTATTTCCAAACTCAACTTTGTTTCATTCCTTATTCTGCTTGTTGTGTTGTTGGTGCTTGTCCATTAGTTCTTAATGGGGTTATTAAATATTTAATGGTCTGAAAGAACTAATGATAATTTGGCTTCAAGAGGAAAAACAAAGATGGTGTTTTATCTACTACATACATTCTCAGCGAACGAGTAAAGCACAATCTTACTGTCATGAGTTAGTCTCACGCAAAAATGTAAATTCTGTCATCATTTACTCACTCTCATATTGTTCCACACCCGTTTACCAATGTGGGATTTGCACTTGTGCATATTCAAATTTGGTGGGATTGTATCAGTTACAAGACATGCAAGGACCAATTTGTTTGGTGTCAATCATGACAAACCTGATGTGATGCATCATAAAACGGCAGGTTTGAATTAGACTTTAGAGCGATGTTGGAAAAGCATAATATGACTTCTAAAGACTTAGCATTTAGTGGTTCATTTATTGACTGTTTTGGTGTTTGACATCTCTAGGTCATTGTATGCTGACAGTGCATGGAAAAGACATTTCTTCGTCAAGAAATAAAGTCGTCATTTGGGTTTAGAGCCACATGAGGGTGATTAAACCATGACACAATTATCATTTTTATGTGAACTATTGCTTTAACAGATAAGAGAGGTCACAGGCTGGGCCAGCAGAGGGCGCCACGGCTGCTGGAAGTCATGTGTAAGGACATGGCAGGACATCTTAGAGGAGAAGACATATTGATCAGACAAAGAGACTGACAGCCTGTCTCTGACCAGATCAATAGAGAGAGAGAAAATGCATCTCTGTCTGGAAAGGGAAATGCATTCATTACAGAAGGAAAGCTGGAGACGTTTGGGACATTATTACTAAGTACTTCTGCCTTGTTTTTTCTCTGATCTGCCCTTTCCTAAATACAAATGAAATGATACTCAAATAAATGCACTACACAAAATTATTTTGTGCAAACATACACGTTTACAGGACAAGTGAACAGAGACGGATGCCGTCAAGCCCCAAAAATGGTAAACTATATAACTCATGCACTATTAGTCTTCTGAAGTGATATGATAGCTTTGTGCGAGGATATGTACAATCTCTTACTGTAGTGTTAAAGTAGCGTGACCATCCTGCTAACCTTATCCTTTGGTGTTACTCGGAAGAAAAAAACGCTGTACGTGTTTCGTCACAAAAGTGAGTAAATGGTGACAGACATGCGGCACACATCACCTCTGCTTTGCGGATGTTCTCCTTGGCCTCCTCTATTCGGAATTCCAGCTCGATCCGGCTTTGTTCCGTGGGCGGAGTCCCGAGTGTCTCACATTCCTCTAGAGCCTGCCATAAAAACAAATTACCGTTAATCAGCTCAATTCAATTGGCAAGAAACCAACTTGAAAAAAAATAAAAAAATCATGGCATCAGATCACATTTCCTGCCACTAATCTAACAATCAGACAAGATACAATAACAACGTTCAACAGAATCATTTGTGGCAGTATCTGTTCTACCGCTTTTATTTCATGATAATTAAACGTAATAATATTGCAATACAAAAAATATTATATAATATTGTATTGCAATATGTTTTACTGTAGATAAAAATACTGCATATGCAGTCATTCAAATCTAATAATAATAATAAAACACTTAAAATGTAAAAATGGACTCACTGAATTGTCATGAACATAAAATAAAATAATAAGAGATCTAAGGGTTAAGTGTTTATTCTTTTAATTTTGTGGATTCATGTGACATGGACATTGGCTCAGTCATTTGTAATTAAATTATTAGTTTGCATCTCAACAGATTTTTACAAGATTCGCCACTTACAGAAGATGTCCAAGTGTGTGTGCAGAGCGCGCTTTGTAATAGATGTTGTTTTCGAGTATGATTGTGCATCCAGCGCCTCTTACCCGTTTGTAATGGATGATGTTTTTGTGTTCGCGGGCCACACGTGTGGCCCATTTCCTCGCCTCTTTGTTGAGACTGTGTTCTTCGGTGGTTCCCGTCTCCGATTCCAGCTGTCGACTCTGAAACAAACACACACACACACACACGGTTAACACAGCAACACACACCTGTCTGAATCACAGGTTTGAGATCAGAGTGGTAAAATAGTGAACTCATTACATTCACAATTACAAACAGAAAGAACAGATCCAGGAACAGAGTTGAGGACATTTCACCATCTCTGATATCAGATCTGAAGCACAATGGATTAATCAATCAACTTAAATCCAAATTAACCAACCTGAGTCGACTAGTGGGAAAAGACGGTGAACAAACAAAAGGTCTGAAGATAGCGCAAGAAAAAGATGCTTGATTCTTCAATCTAAGGATGAGATGCTACATAATTGCTTGTTAAGGAGGTGAGTTGAGGTTCATTGTGGGACATGTGCATTGCACAGTGCATAACAGTTACAAAGTCTTCTCAAATCTCAAGTCTGTCTATTATTCCTTCATCACAGCATCCTTCCAGCTGCCGTCCACTAATTGCCAGTCTCTCCAAAGCATCTGTTTATTTCTGAGTTTAAACACCTGAACACAATATAACCCGAGGATGCATTTAAACCGACGTCTCCAATAAGAGTGTGAAGAGTCTTAAAATCACCATTTAATACAAGTTTCTGGTCTTTCTGCAAAAATGAATCAGAGTACACTATTGTTCAAAAGTTTGGGGTCAGTAAGATTAAAGGATTAGTTCACTTTAAAAAAAACTTTTGCTGATAATTTACTCACCCCCATGTCATCCAAGATGTCCATGTCTTTCTTTCTTCAGTCGAAAAGAAATTAAGGTTTTTGATAAAAACATTCCCGGATTTTTCTCCATATAATGGACTTCCATGGGAACCAGACGGTTCAAGGTCCAAAAGACAGTTTCAGTGCAGCTTCAAAGGGCTTTAAACGACACCAGACGATGAATAAGGGTCTTATCTAGCGAAACGATCGGTCATTTCAAAAATAAATAGAAAAGTTGAAGTTTAAAAAAATCTTTTTTCGAGTCATTTCGTTCATTCAACTAACGAAATGAACGAAATGACTCGAAAAAAGATTCGTTCATTTTGATGAACGAGTTCGAGCAGGAGAGTCACGAACGTGTATCATTTGTGCTTTTTAAACTTCAACTTTTCTATTTATTTTTGAAATGGCCGATCGTTTCGCTAGATAAGACCCTTATTCATCGTCTGGTGTCGTTTAAAGCCCTTTGAAGCTGCACTGAAACTGTCTTTTGGACCTTGAACCGTCTGGTTCCCATGGAAGTCCATTATATGGAGAAAAATCCGGGAATGTTTTCATTTCATCAAAAACCTTAATTTCTTTTCGACTGAAGAAAGAAAGACATGGACATCTTGGATGACATGGGGGTGAGTAAATTATCAGCAAAAGTTTTTTTTAAAGTGAACTACTCCTTTAATACTTCAATTCAGCAAGGACACATTCACTTGATAAAAAGACAGTAAAGACATTAAAAAAATAGCAAAAGAGTTTTTTTTTTTTAAATAAATGCTATTCTTTTGAATGTTCTACTCATCTAAGAATCCTCAAAAATTAATTATGGTTTCAACAGTATATTAAGGAGCACAACTATTTTCAACATTGATAATCATAAGAAATGCTTCTTGAGCAGCAAATCAGAATCATTTCTGACGGATCATGACTGAAGACTAGAGTGATGATGCTGAAAATTCAGCTTTGATCACATGAATAAATTACACTTAAAAATATATTACAATAGAAAACTGTTCTTTTAATAATTGTAATAATATCTCACACTATTTCCTGTTTTTACAGTATTTTTGATTAAGTAAATGCAGCCTTGGTGTTTTTTGTTTCTTTTTAGGAAAGAAACTTGGTGTTTTTACTTTTGAATGATAGTGCACATTATAATTGTCTTCATAATCTTTCATCAAATGTAATAACTTTCTCAATCTCTGAAAAAGCTGTCATATTCTACCCCTGCTATAAGAAACAACATCAATGGTTTGCGATGCTTCAGCTGGTTTAGAATCATAAGGAATGACTTGCGTATATTGACCATATGTGGCAGTATTGCTGACGATGCAGCCTTGCATTTGTGAATATTTGACGGCAACACACTGATCAATATAAATTCAATCAGAGCACTTTAACACAAGCATCCTCACTCGATACTGCCACATCAATCTGATGTCAACACTAGCCATGGCTGACAAAAGGGTTTCTTAAAAGGGGGGAGAAAAAAAAATGCATCTAAACATCACTCTCCCGTTGAGATGTTTTTTTTTTTTTTTACATCTTCCTGTTTTTTCTCTCGGCATGACCCTAAGCAGATGTGGTGTATGTGTTTGAGGCATGCTGGGTTGCCCGAGTCTGCTGGGACACATGACAGTCTGCAGGGGCTCCATCTGGATCAGAACCGCTCGCAAAGGCCTAATCAATCCCATGTGCCTCTGCTTCAAACTCACACACAGATGCTGTCTGGGAGAGCGTGATGGAATGCGTGCATCTTTGACGCTTTCTGCACGTCTGTATGATGGAAAATATTGTGTCTGTGTGTATGTTTGCACTGTTGATCAATACTAGCGACGGTGTCTGAGAGTATTTGACGTGTCAAACAGTTGACGCTCTAAGGATTTGACAAGCAAAATACAGCGTTACAGTGTAAAAGCCACTTTTGTAGCATTTTTCTACAAGGTAAGTTAAGTTACTAAGGACTGACTGAAACTATTATCCTGCTAATCACAAATAAACAAATAATAAATAGGTAAGTAACACTGATTTAAATTAAAATGAATATGTTATATAGTCAACAGAGACACTAGCATAGTATAGAAAATCTGATGCCTGAGTCAACAATCATACAGTCACAAATATCTGAGCACAGAAAAACACAGACTGACCAATAAGAATCAAGTGTTCCAGTGATGCATAGTACATCCATCTTATTCCAAAGGTGAAGTGTGTAAATTAACCTAGAATCCTGAAGCTCAAACTGTATCACAGGGCTAGCAATGCCAAGGTTATGGGTTTAATAAGTCAAGAAAACAGGAACTGAATGAAATATATACCTCAGATATAAGTATAAATAACTAGTAATATTTATTACTATAACTTATCCATAATATTAATTAATACATATTAACAACGAATTTCTGTAAAGGTGCTTTAAAACACACACACATATATATATACACTCACCGGCCACTTTATTAGGTACACCTGTCCAACTGCTCGTTAACACTTAATTTCTAAGCAGCCAATCACATGGCGGCAACTCAGTGCATTTAGGCATGTAGACATGGTCAAGACAATCTCCTGCAGTTCAAACCGAGCATCAGTATGGGGAAGAAAGTTGATTTGAGTGACTTTGAACGTGGCATGATTGTTGGTGCCAGAAGGGCTGGTCTGAGTATTTCAGAAACTGCTAATCTACTGTGATTTTCACGCACAACCATCTCTAGGGTTTACAGAGAATGGTCCGAAAAAGAAAAAACATCCAGTGAGCGGCAGTTCTGTGGGCGGAAATGCCTTGTTGATGCCAGAGGTCAGAGGAGAATGGCCAGACTGGTTCGAGCTGATAGAAGGGCAACAGTGACTGAAATAACCACTCGTTACAACCGAGGTATGCAGCAAAGCATTTGTGAAGCCACAACACGCACAACCTTGAGGCAGATGGGCTACAACAGCAGAAGACTCCACCGGGTACCACTCATCTCCACTACAAATAGGAAAAAGAGGCTACAATTTGCAAGAGCTCACCAAAATTGAACAGTTGAAGACTGGAAAAATGTTGCCTGGTCTGATGAGTCTCGATTTCTGTTGAGACATTCAGATGTTAGAGTCAGAATTTGGCGTAAACAGAATGAGAACATGGAACCATCATGCCTTGTTACCACTGTGCAGGCTGGTGGTGGTGGTGTAATGGTGTGGGGGATGTTTTCCTGGCACACTTTAGGCCCCTTAGTGCCAATTGGGCATCGTTTAAATGCCACGGCCTACCTGAGCATTGTTTCTGACCATGTCCATCCCTTTATGGCCACCATGTACCCATCCTCTGATGGCTACTTCCACCATGTCACAAAGCTCTAATCATTTCAAATTGGTTTCTTGAACATGACAATGAGTTCACTGTACTAAAATGGCCTCCACAGTCACCAGATCTCAACCCAATAGAGCATCTTTGGGATGTGGTGGAACGGGAGATTCGCATCATGGATGTGCAGCCGACAAATCTGCGGCAACTGTGTGATGCCATCATGTCAATATGGACCAAACTCCCTGAGGAATGCTTCCAGCACCTTGTTGAATCTATGCCACGAAGAATTGAGGCAGTTCTGAAGGCAAAAGGGGGTCCAACCCGTTACTAGCATGGGGTACCTAATAAAGTGGCCGGTGAGTGTATATATATATATATATATATATTTTTTTTTTTTTAATGTTAACCAACACATGATTCATATATTGAATAGTGAAAAGCCCAAACCTTAAAACGTGTGTATATATATATTTTTTTTTTTTTTTGAGTTTTAAACACTCCTCCGATCTGCTATCGGTTGGACAAACAGATATTCCCGCCCTAAAGTAAAACCATTGGTTGAACCAACAATATTTTTTCACACCCACTCATCCACTCAAATTAATAGATTTGAACACCATTCTGTTTGGTGCTGCAAAACAATTACATACTTCACCTTTAAAAGAAATAGTGAAAATCTTGTTTTCAATGATGAAATTTCCCCTTTAAATGTGTCCACTCACAATGAGTTTAACAAACACACAGGTGCACAGGCTGATGTCAACATGCAAGCAACAACAACAACTGGTTGATGATGGCTGCAGGACACTGATGCATGATGGGAAATCAAGTCCAACAGACTGTGTGGTACCTGCGCCAGAGTCATTCTCATCACACTGACCGCCGATGGCTCAATGTCCACCAACTGCTGCACCGAACTCAGAGTCTGAGCCAGAGAGGAGGAAAAGATGGGGTGCACACACACACACATCATACACACAAACCACACATATCACACGCGTGCGCGGTGGGGTTAAGAGAGGGTTAGAAACAGACTGTTAGAGGACAGGAAAACTGCAACAGGGTTAGAAACAGCAAAGCAGTCAGAGAGATGCTCAGAGATGTAAAAGCTAACAAACACGATATCTATTAACTACTGAACTAAGAATATGTAAGGAAGAGAGAGAGAGAGAGAGAGAGAGAGAGAGAGAGAGAGAGAGAGAGAGAGAGAGAGAGAGAGAGAGAGAGAGAGAGAGAGAGAGAGAGAGAGAGAGAGAGAGAGAGAGAGAGAGCGAGAGAGAGAGAGAGAGAGAGAGAGAGAGAGAGCGCAGATGCTTTGGTAATACAACCTTAAAGTTAGTTTATTTGAATTAATTGTTAATTTAATTGATTCAGCTTATTGATAGTTAATTAATCAATATTGTACTGCGGTTCGCAATAATTTTAGCAGTTAGAGGAGAAAAATGTCTATACAGAAATCTGGATCTAAAACGTGTTTTGAATTTAGTCATATTAATATTTAAGTCGAAATAAAGTAATAAAGAGAAACTGCAGTTACTAAGCATTGCTAAGGTTTTAGTTCCAATACTGTAATTTAATAAAGATTCTGTACATAAATTATAGTGAAAATTGGTAAAAACGGATAATTCTTTAAATTGATTCATTTTAATTTTAACAGTTAAGGAAATTCTAGGACTGTAAAATTAAAATGCTATTTGTACATAAATAATAATGACAAAATCAAATCCCTTGCGAAAATTCACTAATCAACATTTGCTGAGAAAAGTCCCCAAAATAGCACAAACATTATGCCAAACAAGACAATAATGATAAAAAAGTGGTTTTAGAAGTCAATATATTTTATTTCATTTAATAAAAAAAAACAAAAAAAAAACTCTGATTTATTTGACTGGGATGGATTGATCATAGACTTGCACAAGCACGATTCCCATTTAGAAGGTTCCTCCAAGCTTAAAGAGCAGTAAGATAATTCGGAAACGCTTCCTATTACAGTACAGTACTTACGTGTACTTACCTAGAAAGTACTGGCTAATATAAGGTAAGTACATGGGTTAGGGGTAGGTTTAGGGGTAGGTTCAGGGTTAGTACCTAGTTATTACCCAGTAATTCTAATTACTATAATAAGTACATAGTAAGTACATGGACTGTAAAAGGAAGCGTTAACGATAATTCTTTATTACACAATTTACAGCATGGATCAGTGGGCACTGTACTAAATTAGCATGTTAAATTGTCATCAAGTTAGTTATGTCATTTAAGCACTCAAAATTGAAACTGAAATTTAAAATAGGATAAAAGAATACAGAGAGATATAAAGAGGTTAAAAAAAGCTACCAGGAGTTCAAACTAAAAATCAATCCCACTCGAGCAGAACTGTAGCATAACGAGAGGAACGATCACAAAATGAGTCGTGATTAAAGCTCGAGCAGACACAGAAGAGAGTTTAATCAGCGGGATGTTACTTCATCATCACAGGAACAAGAAATTCTGTTCCCAGAGACTCTCAGATGAACCAGGCTAAAAATAGAAGGTGATGATGAAATTTGTGAGCTTTTTCGGCGCGGTTGTGAGGTATGTGTCGATGACGCCGTCAACGCTGAATAAAATCTGAAACGTTTGAAGACCATTTCAACTTTTAAATATAGGAGTAGAGATAAGACCAAGAGAAGGACAGGAAGAGAGAGAGAGTTGTCTTGCTTAATAATGAAACTAACACAGGTGGATTCCCTGCCATGAGATAGTTTAAACCGAATAAAATTCAGTGATGAATTTGTGATATTCATGTTCCAAAGTGATTATATGAATGAAAAACACATTTTCCTGTACACATACATTATTGTTCAAAGGTTTGGGGTTTGTGAGATTTTATAATGTTTATGAAAGAAGTCTCTTCTGCTCACCAAGGCTGCATTTATTTGATCAAAAATACTGTAAAAGCGGTAATATTTTGAAATATTATTACAAAAAAAAAAAAAAAAAATTCAAATAGAAAAGTTAAAAATGTCATTTATTCCTGTGATGCAAAGCTCAATTTTCAGCATCATTACTCCAGTCTTCAGTGTCACATGATCCTTCAGAAATCATTCTAATATGCCGATTTGCTGCTCAAGAAATATTTCGTATTATCATCAATGTTCAAAACAGTTGTACTGCTTCATATTTCTGTGGAAAACGTGAATCTTTCATGAATAGAAAGTAAAAAACAACAACATTTATTTGATATAAAAATCTTCCTTAACATTATAAATGCATTTACTGTCACTTTTGATCAATTTAATGCATCCTTGCTGAATACAAATATTAATTTCTTTCAAATGGAAAAATAAATAAATAAAATGAATGACTCACACGTATGAACTTGTAATATAGGAGTTCTTGATTTGTCTAGGTGCAGTTTATAAACCTGCATGCATGAAACTCACTGTATCGCTGTCGCTGGGCTGGAACTGGAAGTCTTGTGCTTTGTGAAACACGGGGTTCTCCTGCAGGAACAGCTGCTGGTTGAAGTCCTGCATCACCTGGACATAAGAACAAAACTATTTAACAACATTATGCAAGAGTATTTGACAGGTAATATGTCCCTTTAAAGGGAGAGTTCACCCAAAAACTGACTTTCTTTTGTTCTGTGGGAATTTTAAGTCAATGGGGTTCAATGTTGTTCGGACCCGAATGTTGAACAAAATATCTTCTATTGTGTTTCGCAGAAGAAAGAATGTCACACAGTTTTGGAACGACATGAGGTTCAGTAAATGATGACAGATAGATTATTTTTGCGTGAACTATCCCTTTAAGAGCATGTGAAGGAAAAATCCTTAACTCTCTCTCTCTCTCGCGCACACACACACACACACGTCACAATAGTGGTATGTAAAATTGGACCCCCTTGGCTAGTGAAATAGTGCTCAGACAGATGTGTTTGTCAGCAGAGTGGAGGAATGATGTGTGTGTGAGGGGATTTCTTCATAGGGGAGCCGATAATGAGGAGCTGGCAGAGCGAATCTATTTCTGGGAATGAAGAGGGAAATTGAGAGAGTGATGAAACTAAGTAAGAGGAGAGAGAGCGCGTGTGTGACTCACTCGACTGGACTTCTCCAGGAGGAACTGGAAGGTGCTGTGGATGGCTTGAAACGCTTCCAACTCGGTCCGACAAAAGGATATCAGATAATCCTTCACATGGTCGTATACGTTCCCCTCCAGACCCTAAAGAGAGACACACACAGACAGAGAGAGACAGATCACACACTCTGTGTTTGGACTGAACGAACAACAAATCTCCTCGTGTTTTCAGAAAGGGTCGGAGGAACCAAAGAGAGAAATGAGAATGACAGACAGAATGATAGAATGAACAACAGAAAGTACAACAAACAGAGAGAACGGTAGACAGAATAGAAAAAAAGGCAGACGGAATGATTGAAAAAAAATGATTAAAGCACAACAGATGGAATGATAGAAAGACAGAGAATTAAATATGATACCAAGAATGACAGATACACTGACAGAGAGAAGGAATGATAGAACTAATGACAGATAATAGGGAATAAGAAAAAAGAACTATGGAAAGAATGACAAAAGAATTAAGAATGATAGAAAGAGATAGATAAAGAAGACACAAAACAACCGACAGAATGACAGAATTAAATAATGAAATGATAGAAGACAGACAGAACACCACGATAAAAGAATGACATGGAATGAAATAGAAAGAACGACAGATCGAATGACAGACAAACGACAGAAATAATCATCAATAAGAATGACCAAAATAGAAAAACAATAGAATGAATTTAGACAAAACCAGATAGAAAGAACAACAAAACGAATGACAGAATTAAACAACAGACCGATGAAATGACAAAAGACAGAGAGACAGACAGATAGATGAAACTGGTGCATTTGCAGACAGACAAACACATCTGCATTAAAGACAGATAGAAGGACAGACGTCTCTCTTGTCTCGGCCCCCTTGTGGCCAAAGCTCAGAACAGACGCCTGTTTTCTCTGGACGGAGAGACGCTTGGATCAGAGTAGATTGTTCAAACAGCAGCAGCTGCTGGGAAAGGTTAGCCAGTTCAGATTCCAAGGCCTCAACGTGCAAAAACAAAACTCGAAACCTCTGCTTTCCCCCTCCGTCTCCCTCTTTCTCTCTCACAGTCCATGTTCAGCAGCACTGGGATGGAATGCATTTGGAAAACAGACTTTGATTTGTACGACTGTTTGATGCGGGTGAGCTGGAAATGATACTCTGGGTCCGCTGGGTTACGGCAGGTACCGGCGCTGTCAGGAAGCACATGGGTGTCGTACGCATGAGAGAGATGGAGAGAGAGAGAGAGAGGCTGTGCTTCCTTCTGATAGGGTCCCGTCCACCTCCACCCACCATGGCTCAATGTGAAATGATTCATTTCCTATCCTTTCAAAGGTGCGGGACATCTTAAGCTTCCTGGTTTTGTCATGACTCCGCATTCCCAAAGTCTCCAAAAACATTCCCAAATGTGGCTCTATGTGTGAAAAACGATAATTCACGTGGCCCGTGGTTACGAGCACACCAGGACGGACGCACAAACACACACAGACACACAACACAGGAAAAGACGTAAAGCAAACACAAGCATCAGCTGAACAAACACTTCTGCTGCATTATAAATGCTTCACTTTACACCCCAATGCCTCCTACAGGGAATAAATGAACCACTCAACTCAAAACACACACACACACACACTCTAAGACTCGATATGAACCTGTGGTGCACATTTAGCACAAACCATCTGTTGGCTATGAATGGAGGCTATTAAATTCACAAAAAGTTATTTTTATACAATTTTACAGTAAGTCTATAATTTGATGTGTAAAGTCAAGAAAATAATCAACATAACTAAATTAAATCCTTAATTATCAATAATAATCGTTAATTCTAAAGTGATGCATTTAATTTTCAAAACTACACAGTAAAGTTTAAATGTTTGGTCTTTGTAAGGATTTCTTAATGTTTTAACATACAGTAAAATAATGAAATATTATAACAATTTAAAAGAACTTTTTTTCTACTGTAATATATTTTAAAATGTCATTTATTCCTGTGATATCAAAGCTGAAATGTCAGCATCATTACTCCAGTGTCACATGATTTTCAGGATTATTTAGAAAGTTCAAAAGAACAGCATTTATTTAAAGGGGTCATGAATTCACAAATCATGTTTTCCTTGAGCTTTTGACATAAGAGGTCATCATACTATAAGAATATCCTATAAGTTTCAGAGCTGAAAATTTCCTTGTTAGTCCAAAAACAGATTTTTTTGAAACCAATGTCTGAAAATGACTCGTTCTGGAATGTGCCGATTTATGACGTCATAGAGATTTGAAAGAACGCATACTTCAACGCATACTTCAACATCATTACCACTGTAGCCCCGCCCACTGGCGCTTTATAGAGAATACGAGGAGAGACGAGGATCACAGGACTAATAACATTACCCTCCAAAATATCCTAATGCTAGGAATGTGGTTAATTATTTTCAACAATGTGAATGTCTCAGTTAAGCATTATTTTTTTTTTTGTATTCGATACATTTCACTGTGGATTCTTTGGTAAATCAGTCACAATTTCAGCGCAGCCTTTGCAAACAAACTTTTATGATATAAACTCAACAGTAATGCGACAATTGGTAACGGTGTTAATTTTAATGCCTGATCTGTGACCAGTGATTTCTGATATGTAATGATTCATGTACGGTCAGATGTTCGTCTAAAAATAGTTTATTGCGGTTTAGTTCTGGACTCTAGACAAAACACCCGTTACAATCAAGTTAACGACTCTTATTTACATCGTGTTTGCACTGTTAGTTATATTGAAAGCATTCATGCGAGTGCAGAAATCGAGTTACTACGACGAGATCACTGCATTCATGCGTGCAACATGTCTGTGATCGGCTGTAATGCTCATCACTGCAACTTTTTATGCCACGATCTAAATATAATGCCATAGATCTAAATAGTATGCTATAATCGACACTTTTCACTATTAGTTAACCTCGACAGCTGAAATAGCAAAAACACGATAAAAGGTTCGAGAGAGTTCAACATGGAATACGTACTGTAGCTATTTCTATGCAAAGATGTCGGCCAATCACAGCAGTGGGCGTTTACACTGAAGTCTCACAGCAGTGTCGGAAAAATGCCTTTTTTTTTCGAAATTATGACAATTTTTGATGTACAAATCATACTAACATATTATAAGTGCAACCCAGGAAAAATAAAATAAAACAATGCAGCACACGACCCCTTTAAAATAGAATATCTTGAAACATTATAATGTCTTTGTCACTTTTGATCAATTTAATGCATCCTTACTGAAAAGTACTATTATGTTCTTTCCAAAAACTCTTACTGACCCCAAACTTTTGAATAGGAGTGCAAATAGTGATTTACATGCTAAGTTCACTTCAAAGGAAATTCTGTCATCACCCTCACTTTGTTTTAAACCAATAGATACAAGTCAGTAATTGGTCAAGAGATAAATGAAAAACAATAATATTTGACATAATATGACACTGTCTATTTTCATTCAAAAGAGACATTCTGCCTAAATGTCTCCCTTTGGGTTCCACTGGTTCGGAAAAGATGAGAAGAGAAAACAATGACAGAATTTTCATTTTTGGGTGTGCTACGCCTTTAAGCTCTCAGCAGGCGTGTTGTTTGTAGATATGTGCCACATTTTCTCAGAGGTCAGTAAATGTCATCTTTCTATACATATCCAAAGCAGAAGGGTGACACAATGCTGATGGTGTTTGTAGATGACGGCTGGTTCACACACAAAAACAGGAATAAGAGCTAAGAATACACGCAAAACACACGCATATCTCACCTCTTTCCTCACACATTTACAAGTACAAAAACAATACAGCGATGACAACACTGCGGGAAAAACCCACAGCCAATCTTGAAAGCAGAATTTCCCCTCTCTCTTTCTTCCGATTTTGTGCCGTTAAACATTTAAGACAAAATCAGGACTAAAAGAGAAACCTACTGATATATAGATACACGCATATCTCCCCTCTTTCCTCACACATTTACAAGTACAAAGCAATACAGCGATGACAACACTGCGGGGAAAACCCACAACCAATCTTGAAAGCAGAATTTCCCCTTTCTCTTTCTTCTGATTTTGTATATACTGTATATATATATATATATATTTCTTTCAGTAGGTTTCACTTTTAGTCCTGATTTTGTCTTAAATGTTTAACAGCACAAAATCAGAAGAAAGAGAGCGGGGAAATTCTGCTTTCAAGACATCATTCACCCGCTTTATTGCTTTATTGTGTGGGAGTTTGCATGTTCACCCCGTGTCAGCTCCGGTTTCCCCCACAGTCCAAAGACATGCAGGTTAGGTGGATTGATAAGCCAAATTGTTGTAGAGTACGAGTGTGAATGTGTCCCAGTGCTCTCAGTGCAGGGCTGTGACAGGAACCTGTGTAAAACCTGTGCCAAATCGTGTGTGTGAAGCGGACCCTGCAAATGAGCGGGTATAACGCTAAGAAATAGAGAGAGGTATTGACTTATGAATCTGCACATGGTCTGTCTTAAAGCAAATTAAAAACAACACATAAACAGATTATAGCGGCTACTGAATTCAATGATGATACCGCTGAGAGACTAAGACAGGGACTTATGCACTTATGACGCATAAATACAACATCGATGAGGCAAATTATCTTTTACTAGCAATTCGTTATTGCTGGCTGATGTTTCTTGATGGTACAAAGTTTAGTGGTCAACAAAGAATACATCGCCCCTGTTCACCCCCTCTCACCTAACTTAATCACTAAACAGGTGACTAATATTCACATTCCCACGTAATCCCGTGACCCGCCACCAGGATCACGTGACAATCAAAAACATTAACTCTTTCATGTCTACTACACATATAAACATTAATTTTCACCACAGGGGGACTTTAAGTGTTTTTGAACGTTGCATGGTTGTTGATGCCAGACGGGCTGGTCTGAAGGTTTCAGAAACGGATGATCTGCTGGGATTTTCATGCAGAACCATCTCTAGGGCTTACAGAGAATGGTCTGAAAAAGAGAAAATATCCAGTGAGTGGCAGTTTTTTGGGCGAAAAATGCCTTTTTGATTACAGAGGTGAGAGACGAATGGCCAGACTGGTTTGAGCTTATAAAAACACTTTCTGCAGATGAGCATCTCTGAACACACAACACGTCCACCCTTGAAGTAGATGGACTACAGCAGCAGAAGAACACACCTGTGACACTCCTGTCAGATAAGAACAGGAAACCGAGGCTACAATTCGCACGGGCTCACCAAAATTGCACTATAGAAGAATGGAAAACCGTTGCCTGGTCCGATGAGTATCAATTTCTGCTGCAACATTCAGATGGTAGAGTCAGAATTTGGAATAAACAACACAAAATCATGGATACACCCAGCCTTGCATCAACGGTTCAGACTGCTGGTTGTGTAATGGTGAGGGGGATATTTTCTTGGCACACTTTGGGTCAATTGAGCATCATTTAAACACCACAGCATACCTGAGTATTGTTGCTGACCATGTCCATACATCCCTTTATGACCATAGTGTTCTCATCTTCTGGTGGCTACTTCCAGCAGGATAACGCAAAAGCTCAAATCATCTCAAACTGGTTTCTTGAACATGACAATGAGTTGACTATACTCAAATGGCCTCCACAGTCACCAGATCTCAATCCAATACAGCACCTTTAGGTTGTGCTGGAGAGGGGAGAGTCGCATCATGGATGTGCAGCAACTGTGTGATGCTATCATGTCAATATGGACCAAAATCTCAGAGGAATTTCCAACACATTGTTGAATCTATGCCACGAAGAATTAAGGCAACCCGGTACTAGCAAGGTGTACCAAAAAGTGGTCGGTGAGTGAGTGTGTGTGTGTGAGTGTCAAGACTCAGCACAAGCAAAAAAGGAATGTTTCAGTCTTCTCAATTTTATTAAATGAATGACCTTGTAAATCTAGTTAATATGCGGAAGGACACCAAAAATACATTATGTATCTGTAAAGCACAGAAATCGTGTCAGCAACACATAAGAACAGTATTCTGACCCCAAAAAAGGACAAATTTCAACAACAAATTTCTCTTGAATGCAGGCCCCAGATACTTTAATTGGAAGTGCATTACTATAATTGTGATTTCTCCTTTTTAAATAAATAAATAAACCCTAAGGGACAAGTCAACATTATTTTCTGTGGTAACTGACATTATGCCACAAATACTGTTCATAGAGCTTAAAAAAAGCACAATGCAGAAAAAAATAGAAGTAAGATGGGAAGCCAGAAGACTAGCACTCCGTAAATCTGCCCTGACAGCAATGGAATATATATTAAAGAATATGTCTGGAAATATGACAGATGAGACTACTCTCGTTAACAAATCAAGATATAGATATAGAGCTACAATATGTTAACCATAATTAAGATTATGTCTCAGCCAATGGGAAACGATGAGAAGGGCTGTATTGAGCAGGTCTTTCGGCAGCCGGGTGGGCCTGAAGCACTGACTCTCTATCTATCAATAATTTAAGCCAGATTCTCTCAGATTGCATTCATATCGCTCGGGGTCAAACATGAAGCGGGTGGAACACAGATGATGTCCTCCGGTAAGAACAGGAGGAGACTATCAGTTCGGTTCTGAACACAGTGACAGGACAAAGCTGATAGAGATGTACAGTACGGGACTTGGTCAAGTGGAAATATGCAGAGTAAACGCTCGTCTGGTCTGATCACGGGCAGAAATGAGAGAGAATGATTTAAACAATAGATAATCAATCTGGTATAAAACTTCTGAGGCAATAAACAAAATGGTTGATATATGCAAACTGTATGCCATATCTATGCAAAATATGTGAACTGTAAGGTTGCTTTGGATAAAAGTACAAGTAGATTGATGATTAATGTCAATAAGGTGGAATAAAATAATAATAGTTAAAATAAAAGAATAAACGAACCAACTACAAAAAATAATAAAAGGTGCAATTCTAAGAGGGTCCTCCTCACACCATTGGTGATGGGGCCCTAAAAATAAAGTTAATCAATACAAATGTACATTCTAAAGGCAACATCCCACTAAACATTTTTCCAAAAAATTTTTTTCCAGAATAAACCTGTTGCCTAATGGTGCTTTGGATAAAAGCATCTGTTAAACTAATAAATGCAAATGCAAAGCTGCTTGGCAGCTGTACATAGTCAACAGTTAAGCTAATAAACCATACTAATTGATTAAATAATATATTTAATAATATTTAGAATAAATGTGTCTTATATTGGTGTTTCTGCAAAAAAACGTGAATTTTATAAGAGTGACTTTTATTATGGTGACATTTCCCTTTGTGTCCTTATGATAAAATCACTGTCTGATTGGTTGTTCTGTGTTCTGAGTTGAACTAAAGAACACAAACAATGATATTGTAAAATGTTCCAGTTACAATTAATACAGTCACGAACTTCTCTTTAAAACTTTTAACATAAAACTCCTAATTTCTAATGTAACAATACTCTGATGCCAAATTAAGAAATGTTTGCCCAGAGGTTGATGTGTATCTTTGGGGATGTGGCGGTCATCTTGGCCAGCACATTCTACAAGATATCTGTTCCCAATGGTCTAAGATTAAGAAGGATGTTGAAGAGAGTTTGCATCACTAAATAAGGCCATGACTGGAGCTGCTGTCAGTCTGTGGACATGAAGCATAGATTTATACTGGCACATACATCCACTGACCGGATCGCACAAGATCAGGAGCGGACACTTGTAATATTTCAAGCAAGCCCTGAATAATTGAATAAAAATATTTTTGCATACAGGCTCAGACCGTGCATGAGGTTTGATAAGGTCAACATGAAATCAAAATGTCCCTATTTACAGTCCTAATACATGTTCCATCCTGAGTACACGATTCATCAGTGCACATTATTACAAAAGGGAGAGAAAACAATCATCTTCATATCTTTCATCAAAAGTTAATAACCTACTCCACCTCCATTTCCTTTTCAGCTGATGTCACTAAGGGGTCAAGGTTTGGCTGGTTAGCATAGCCCTGTTAACACCTGCTTGTAAAAGTCTTAACAACACCATCTGTCTACATTGATGTAGCGGTGTATATCAATCCTAAATATTTAATTCTTTATCAAAATGTCTTATTAAAATGTCTTAAAATTTAGACCAAAATAATATAATATAAAGGAATATACATATACATACATACATAATATATATATAGTCTGATTTATTTGTTAACATCATTAATGTGACTAGATGTAAAAGTTCCTGCTTCAAATGCAATCAATAACTTCAATAAATTTCAAATGTGATTTCTTTTGTTATAAAAAAACAAAACATGTCACCAAAATGAATATAAATGCCAACAAAATTCAAGATATGATTGCAAAAAAGTCTTGACTTGGTCTCAATTTAGGTGGTCTTGACTACAACACTAATACATTGACTACAACATAACCAGCTATTAATATATCGATGATTCTCTCTTGTTTTTGCATGCGTTCATCATTTCTTTGTATGACAGCCTGGCCAAAAATTACGTCCGCACAATTTTGTTTCATTTCATTATAACAAATAAAACAATTGGCTTTATGCACAGCTGCACTACTTCCTGAACTTCAGCCAGCTCTTTTGCTTCCTGTCTGCCATTATTGGACAAACTGATTAATCCAGGTGTGCCTGGTCTCAGTAACAATAATCAGGCACACCTGGATTAATCAGTTTGTCCAATAATGGCAGACAGGAAACAAAGGAGCTGGCTGAAGTTCAGGAAGTAGTGAAGCTGTGCATAAAGCCTATTGAAGACTCCAAGAAAAACTATGTAATATGGTAACAAAGTCTTTAAAACATTTTAAATTTTCGTATTTAAATAAAGGGTGAATATATATATTATACATCTGCTGTCTTTGACATTGCTGCTCAGGATAGTCACTAGTATTGTTTGTGACTGGACTGTACAGTTTTCATTTGGAAATAAAATGGGTTGCAAATGCGATTTCATGTTGACTTTTAAGTTAGAATGAAATAAAAGTACCATTCTTGTTCTCTAAGCTGTGCTAAAGTCCCATGAGCGTAGAGGCGCTGTGCTGTGACCCTGAGAGCATGAAGCAGAACGGAACACATACCAGACGTGCTTCGATGTTCTAGCCAACTTCTGTCTATTACACACACAACCAGATAATGCTGGACCACAAACACCAAACATTCAATTGCGTAATCACACATTACATGCATTTAACATCTGCACAAGAGAGAAACAACAATACTGTCTCCAGTCAGTGAGTGTGTTTACATTCACAAGACAAGGCTGATATAACTACCACAAATGAGCTTATTATAAATACCTGAGGAGATATTATAAAACATAAACAGACTGAATACGCCACCAGAATGGTGGTAATATAGTTTTTACAGCTTTTAAAAATGTGGATGTAAATACGCAAAAATACTTAGTCACATAAGACTAGATGGCTCATGTGCAGTTATAAATGAGCAATACTGGGCAAGAAAAGAAAGCATGCAGATATTTCTCTCTGTGAGTGAGCTTTTTCCTGTGAAGAAATCTACACAGGAAGTACATAGTTTGATCTGCACATAGATTACATCACTGTCTGGCCCACTGTACTAGTTTCATGCCAACAGACATGACTCGTGTAAAACGTTCAAAACAAGTGCAATACTCCACCAACAACACTGAAATCATGAAAATCAAAACTCTAATATTTAGTCAAATTAAGTTACGCACTGTTGACATGGAGGAAACTCCACCCAATAATGCACAACCACATGTTCATCCACATAGAAAAGTAGTCCCAGCTCAAAAGGATGATTTTATCAAAGCAAATTTCCTTTTTGTGCTTTAATAAACGGTTACTTAAATAAAATAAAATATAAACATTAGATGAAAAACTTAGCCTACATTTAAAAAAATTAAATAAACTTAAGTTCAAGTACTAAAATTGCTACAACTGAAAAAAACAACAAAAAAAACAAATAAATATGCCAAAATCACATAAAATGATAAATTAAAAAAAAATTACACATAATAATAAATACTATAATAGCATATAAATAATACTAAAATAACACTACTTTGCTGTGCTCACCTTGATGCAGTTGACCAGGTCGGTCTGGTAGTAGCGGTCGTGGTGTGCGTTAGCCGCCGCCAGTGTGAGAAGATATTCGTTCCTCGCATGGGTCGCTTTGGAGTTACAATCGCTCCTCTTTGCTTTCAACTGAAACACACACACAAGGTCCAAAACTTCAAGAAGTGCAAGACTCTGGAACATCCATTTAAAGAGAGTTCATCCAGAAATGAATTCTCATGTCATTCCAACACTATCATTTGACCTGAACCACCATCAGTTAAAAACAATTTGTTTTTGTTTTTTTCACTTACAGATTTATGACTTGAGTTGTATGGACTACTTTTATGGTGCATTTTTGTTCTTTTTGGAAAGTGTACACCAATGAGCCAAAATATTACGACCACCTGCCTACTATCTCTGCCACCAAACAGTCATCAGCGTGCCACCAAACAGCACCGACCTGCCGAGGCATGGACTCTACGAGACCCTCTGAAGGTGTGCTGAGGTTTCTGGCACCAAGACATTAGCAGCAGATCATTCAAGTCCTGTAAGTTGCAAGGTGGAGCCACCATGGATTGGTCCAGCACATCCCACAGATGCTCAACTAGATTGCTATATGGGAAAATTGTAGGCCAGGGCAACACCTTGATCTCTCAATCATGTTCCTAAAACCATTCCTGAACAATGTGTGGAGTGTGGCAGTGTGCATTATCCTGCTGAAAAAGGCCACTGCCGTCAGAGAGTGCCATTGTCATGAATGAGTGTACCTGGTTTACAGCGATGTTTAGGTAGGTGGCAAGTGTCAAATTGAATCTCTGGGACTGTCTTATCATATGGATGTCAAAGTAAAACATCGCACAGAGCATGATCTCACACCCTCCGCCAGCTGTCCTAGTCCCACAGTGCATCCAGGTGCCATCACTTCCCCATAAACGACGCAGATTTACATGGCTGTCCACATGATGCAAGGCAAACGGGACTCATTGGACCAGACGACCTTCTTCCACTGCTCCAAAGTCTAGTTCTGATGCTTGTGTTCCCATTGTAGGTTATTTCAATGGTGAATCATGGGCACCCTGACCAGTCAGCGTCTACGCAGCCCCTTATGCAGCAATGTGTGACGTTGTTACACATTTCTCCCATAACCATCAATACAACATTCTGTGACTTTTGCCACAATAGACCATCAGTTCGGACCAGAGGGGATAGCCTTCGTTGCTCTTGTACATCAATGAGCCTTGGACGCCCAAACCCTTCACCGCTTTGTGGTTTGTCGGTCCTCTGGACCATTATCCGTAGGTTCACACCCACCCCTGCTGACCAGGAGCAACCCACAAGCCTTACCATTTCAGAGATACTCTGACCCTGTCATTTGGCCATAACAATTTGACCCTTGCCAAAGTCTTTCTGCTGCATCCAACACACTGACTACAAAAAACTGATTGTTCACTAATAATATTTTTTGGCTCATCAGTGTAAAAATCACCCTCTACTACTTATTGTGTGGAAAAGCTCAGAACTTTTTTTCTCTCAGAAGAATCCAAAATGTTAATTTTTGGTTTTATTAATCCTTTAATAACACTCCAACACAATCAAAATGTGTCTGAGAGAAGACCCAAACACACATGGCCTGTCACACTAACATGGTGTAAAGCACAGACCAGGTTTTAGATCGGAAGCAAAATGTTTCTTTAAAAAAAAAAAAAAAAAAAAACGGCCCGACAGTGGTGTTTACCTTTACGCTGGCCTTCTGTAAACTTATCCTGGATTGGAACAGGCCCAGCTTTGACCTGAGAAAACACAGAGCAGGTATTATAAATCACACACGTATCAGACCCAGAGGAAGGAACAAGCAGGATAAATGAAAGCCCGGATCAAAACCTTCCCAGATTTGAGCGGAGGAAGAAACAGACATAATAAATCAAACTAGAGTAGATCACTCCAGCAACCTGTGAAAGGAAGAAAGAAAAAATCCTGGAAGGCAAAAATCTGGTTATAGCATCACTGAGATAACTTCTTAATCTTAAAGGTACAGTTCACCCCAAAATTAATCACGTATTCACTCTCATGTCATTCCAAACCCGTTTGACTTTTTTCTGAAGAACACAACAGGGAATATTTTGAACAATGTCCACACTGCTGTCAACTATACAATGACAGCTCCATAAAGGAAAAAGGACACCATAAAAACATCAATAAGGTTGTGAATGTGCACTATATTCTATATCTTCTGAAGTGATATGACAGCTCTGCATAAGAAACAGACCCAAATTTAATTTGATATGAGCTGAAAATCCTTCCCTCCACCATTGTTATTGCTAACTAAAATTTAAAAACTAAAACTATAATATTGCTAATTAAAATAAAGCTGAAGAAAAATAAAATATTAGAAAGAAAACTCAAACTTAAGAAGCAAAATTAGAATTGCGTACTTGGCAACTAACTGAAATCAATAAGTGGAAGTATTAAAATGACTAAAACTGGTAAAACTAACCAGACACATACCTCACCCCTTCTGTTACTGCAGCTATCACTTCATACATACATATATGCATCTACACTCATGCATAACATGTTTTCAAACCCCCTTTCCCTCAAACACCTTAACCATGATCAACTAATATAGCCTACATTTCAGATCAACAGAAAGGGGGGAGGCGGAGAGGGGAGGGAGAGGAGAGGAGAAGGGGAGGGAGAGGAGGAAGAGGGAGGGAGGGAGGGGAGAGGGGGAAGGAAGGAAGAGGGGGAAGAAAAGAGGAGAAAAAAGGGAAGGAATAATAAGAATAAGAATAAGAATAATTTGCTCAAGATGTGTTCTCTGTTGTTGTTTGTCTGTCACTTGTCCTATGTTACGTGTTACACCTTGAACATGGTGCTATAACCCCCCCTTCACTTATGTACCCAGGCTCACACTGAACGGGGTGAATAGTTATGCTATTCACAGTTTCTGTGATAGTAATAGCAATAGTAATAGTTACTTGAATAGTTACTGTATACACATGTATTGTCTGTATTGTAATATATTGTGTATATATGCTCTTTTTCTGTTTTATTAAAAATAAAGTTGTCCTCCAAAGAGGGGGGGTGGTGGCGGGCAAAAAAAAAAAAAAAAAGACTAAAACTGAAGTATAAATAAATTAGTAAAATATACATTTTAAATATATTTATATATACAAATATAAAAATAAAAGCTAATTCAAAATATTAATAAATACTATAAATAAAACACCGTCCTCCACTGTAGCTCTCATTCATGCTTCTGCATATTCAGATTTAAAACCAAAGCCATTTAGTGGCACTGACGTCAAACTGCAGGACTTGGCATCCTAATGTGCCAAGCTTGAAAATTTGGAAGCAAAAGTGAGACTTTCAGCAAATAAATTATATTTATATTTTATAATATAATTATATTTAATTTGATTAAAATAAGGCTGTTCCTCAAACAAAGCAACCGTATGACTTCAGAAGATTACGAATACAGCACATACATTGTATGGACTATGGTGTTTTTTAGGCATGTTATAGAAAAGAGCATCTAAGGGCCTGTTTACACCTGGTCCCTTCATGAATATTTTTTTTACTGATCGAATAGCTATCTGATTAGTTAAAACTGTCCCATTTACAGTTGGCCACGTAAATGTGGTTTCACGAAACAAATATAAATCCAATCTTCAATTCCCGTGCTAAATTCACATCAACAAAAGCAACAGATATGATCTTTATTTTATTTATCATCAGCTAATTTCAAGGCCAATTTCAAGAAGCAGAGAGAGCAGCATTAACACTGGTAAAATAGTTTCTCGCAACCTTTAATAACGAAAAGAAGTGTGACCATGAAGTGACCTGGTGTAATGAGGCCCAATGACATGCTTTAAAACTACTACAAAAAAATTATTGGAATAACATTATGAAAAACTGTAGGTTTTTATATCCAACTATGTTCAAATTCAAGTGTAAAAGGACAGGCAAAACTGCACTATCCATCTATGAAAAGTCATTTAAAGAAATTCGAAACATCTAATTTTCTGCGTTTATGTCTGGATTAAAAGATAACTTCCTCATCACAGAGCCCCATTCATTAGAAATCAGAGTTGCTCTGGAATCTGATACACTTTGATTCATCAAGTCTGCATGAAAATTAAGGAACCCGACAGATTCTCTCCCATCTTCCTTCTGCCGCTGAGAACAATAACTGATTCTAATTCAGCTTTACAGCCAGCCATGCTAAACAAGCAGAGCAACATCGATAGCCAAAATCAATAAAAGAACTGAGCAAGCTCACAACTCCATGCCACTGGACTCGTCTTTCGCCTCTCTGTCTAATCCGGTCTTGGCAGAGGCTTTGAAATGGCAATTGTAGCGTGGGTACAAATGGCCCTTGAAGATGAAGAGAGATGGTTGAGTGTGTTTAACAAATTCTGCATCGGGCTAATAAATTGCTTTGAACAGAGCGGGGTATTCCCTACTGGGGGCTTAAGTATCAGCCAAAGAAATTCATATTTAATGAAGGCATATCATCTCAGCGACACATCTTTTATATTCTTTGGCGCTTTTAATGCTGAGGACATTTTAAGTTTGTGATTCTGAGCTGAACAGCTTCTATAAAAGGTGGAAAACTGCTCGGCGCAATAAAATTTTAAATTCCAATTCCAAGATATGCACAGTTTTATGCAAACCACATTCCCTGTAGCTTAAACAGAAGAGCACGACACTAGCAATGGCATGGAATGGCAAGGAATGCATGTGATAAAGCGTACATTGAAAGTAAAAGTGTCTGCTAAATCCATAAATGAGTATTTAAAGGGTTAGTCCACCCAAAATGTTTAATTCTGTCATCAACTACTCACCCTCATGTCATTCAAAAACCATAAGACTTTCATTCATCCTCGGAACACAAATCAAGATATTTTTAAATACAATCAGAGAGATTTCTGTCTATTCAAACATTTAGACAGACCTTAAGCGATGCCTACGAAGGGTAAGATGCATTATCAAAGACACATCTCATCCCACCCATGGACTATTCACTCTTCTCCCATCTGGGAGACGATATGGGAGCTTTCGCTGTCGCACAAGCAGATTCAGGAACAGTTTCTGCCCATCTGCGGTCAAGATACTAAACACTACACTAAATATGAGAAACACTACATCCAACTCCGACCTTGTCTAAAAGGGAAAAGGGAGGCAATAATTTTTTCTCCTGTATTTTACCATCTGATGCCATCTTGCACTGCTGTGGTCACTGGCCAGTTACATATACTCCAACCTCCAATTTTGAGACATTGCATTGAGCTGGTCTCTGCAACTGTACTTTATTAGCTTTTTTAGAAATGTTTCTTTTTAAATTATTACTACTGTTTGCACTCCTGGTCAGATGCTAACTATGTTTCATTGGCTCTGTACTTGTATTTTGTCAATGACAATAAAGTGAATCTGAATCTTCTGTCCCTCCACTGAAAGTTTAATCACCCAAAACTCTGATGGTTCAAAACATACATTAAGAGATTGTAAAAAAAAATACATGTGAATAGAGCAGTTTACGTCTTCTGAAGAGACAAGATCGTTTTATATGATGAACAGATTTAATTTAAGCTTATAAAACACATACGTTTCACATATAAACATTGTTTACAGCATTCTAATTTAGTGACGGAAGCTCAAGCATGAGAACCAATGAGGTTCATTCTCGCTTGTTACGCACTTTTGAGCTTCTGTGGATTAAACTGCTCGATTCATATGGATTTATTTTACGTTATATTTATGAACGTTCTGAAGTGTCCCATTTTTGGGGGGAATGGACTTTCAATGGAGGGACAGAAAGGTCTCAGATCTCCACCCACAAAAGATCTCCATTTGAGTTTTGAAAATGAACAAAAACGAGTTTGGAACGACATGAGAGTGAGTAATTGATGCCCAGAGTTTTTTTATTTTTGGGTGAACTGTACCTTTAAGCTCTAATAAAAATAATTAAAGTCCTATTATCTTAATGTCTAAAGCAAAGGTTTATCACGCATTTAAACATTTTCAATGCACTTAATCAATCTTACTTATAAAATGTATACCAATTCCAACCAGTATATTGTTTCAACCAAAATATTGTCCACTCCTAGTGGTTATTCTTTAATTAATGGGACTCAATTAATGGGACAAGCACAAGTGAAGTGTGTGCTTCTGATCCGGGCACCTCGGGGACCATTTGCACCTGCAATACCAGACGCGCTTACTTGGACTCAATGTCAGCCTTTTCCCGCACAGCCTGGGCCATCTGCTCCAACTCAAAGTATTTCTTTTTGGACTTAGCCAGATCCTTCACTGAATCCTGGAGCTCCGCCTGGATCCGACCCAGCTGCTCAATGCACTGTGGGCGGCCACCGCGGGAGAGCAGAGAGAAATGACATTAGAGAATTACAGCACATGACGGTTCAGGCCACAGGACCGAGGACCGAGGTTGGTACCTTTTTCAGCTGCTGTTCTTTGTAGAGCCGTACGGTTTTGGCGGGGTCCGAAATCTCGTTCTTGTAGTTCTCGCAGACGTTGAGACGAGACTGGGTCACCTGCACGGTGCCTTCAAGATAAGCTCTCCACACTCCATACACATTCCTACAGCAAGAAAAACATGCTTACTGATTGTGAACACTATTTATGGACCAATACTCTCATGCAAACAAAAGTAACAGACTAATATTTGAACAGTTGCACCTGGGAGTTTACTTCACGCATGATCAGTCATAATCAATGAATATAATCAGGGCAAATAAAAAGTATCCAACAAGTTGCATTAAATCACAGAGGTCTGTATTAAATAATGGAAAGCTTTGCATACATTTTAAAAATACCAGAGTGGATACATTGGTTATCTTCTTATGAGCCCATAGTCAGTGTAGTGTGGCAGCCTTTTAATTTAAAGGGGACCTATTATGCAAAATATTGCTTTTGAACATAAATGCGTATATGTAGTGTGTGTACACAAACAGCCTATTGTGGTAAAAATCCATCCACTCTGTTTGCCATTTTCCCCATAAATCTGAAACAGTCTCAAAATGAGCCATTCAGAAATGTCCTCTAATGTGACATCACACTGGAACAGGCCCCGCCCATGACTGGTGACAGAATCTGCCCTATTAGCTTAGCTCCTCCCCTTAGTGAGCTGTACCAAAGACTATCGAATTACACAAAACACATCTCTGATATTGTTTTGAATGGGCAAAAGTGCAACGCTCAATATGGCAGAATAAGTCCCGCCTTCTAAATAAGAACCAATCGCCGATTGGTAAAGTCAGCGCGTCACCGCAGCTGCCGTTAGAAGCTCCGGAGTCAGTCAGCATGACTGCGCATGAGCTTGATCCAACCTGAAAAATTACGTTTTCTGTCATGATTCAAGCGTTTAGAAAAAGTGTTTTTTGAGACGGTTGTTGTCAGATTTCATTCCTGATTTCAATTCAAATATGAAATTTAATCGTAAGCTTGGCAAACAGTTTTGGAAAATTTAATGTTTCCCCATTCAAAAAGACAGGAGCTGCACTTGCATGCCCGAGAGGCGTTTCAAAGATGGCCGCCGAGTGAAATTACTTGCCTGTACACAGTCCGTCATGTTTATCTCCTCACCAGAGCATTTAACAGCAGCATTCAACTAAGAATTGTATTCTTATTAAAGCAACTAAAGTTATTCAACCAAGAGCAGTAAGTGATTTTCTGTTTTTCTTTTGTTGTTTGATTCATATAACAGCATTTACAGCAGTAGGTACTGTTTTATGCTGCAGTCACTTTAATACACAGATCTAATATACATTCACAGACATAACCGACTGTGTTTATGTGAACTTTGTGTGTTTTAGACATAACCTTAAAGAGAACTTTAATACTCACGGGACGTGCCGTCTGACATCCAGCTTTCTGTGCGCGTGCTTTGGATGTGTGCGCTCAAAAAAACCAAATATCAGAAGTTTAAACTGATATGGCTTTAAATCGCATGCAAATAATAACTTTCATGATGATGAAGAACTGCAATGTCACGTGAGTGTGACCGCGATAGAGATGATAATCAAAACCAAACAGATATTTTGATTTTTGACAGAGTATTGGAGTATTGGAGTACTCTTCTGGAAAGTGGGGTGGGGAGCAGCAGCTGATTTGCATTTAAAGACACATGCACAAAAAACAGCATGTTTTTGCTTCTACTCAAAAATGGACATTTACAACATAGTGAAACTTCACAGACACATTCTGGGGACACCTAAGACTTATATTACATCTTGTAAAAAGTGGCATAATAGGTCCCCTTTAATTCAGATTTCTATTGTCGTCAGAAAACTTTCTGCATTGAAATTAATCCCTAGATTACTTTAAAACTTAGTTATGGCAGTGTTGTAAGACTCAAGAAACAAACTATCAATGTAAAGCACCCAGCAGGGAAAATGATAGTCATTAAGCATCACGATCCTTATGATTTAACCAGAAACTTGTGAAAGAGGATTTTTTTTCACTCACCTGTAGTCTGTCCTCTGATCATCTGGTTTGATCCCAGGCCAGTCCCTCTTTAAATATTGACTTGCCAACTTCTGCAGTGCCTGAAAAATAGATTAAAAAACAACAAAAACCAGCATAAGACGGTTGAACTTGTTTGGTTTCTCAAGCTACATCACAATTCCATTGCTATTCCTCATAAATAGTACGCAAAAGACAAATTAGTGCATACAAAATCATAGTATATTGGTATGCCAAATGTGCCCATGAATATTTGGGGGGGGGGAGTTTTTCAAGACTTTTTCAGCTGAAAAAAAATAGGCTCAATTTCAATAGCAGTTTATAAATGAATCTAAAAGTTATGCATTCATGAATTTTAAGCTAATTAATGTTAATTCTTAAATTGCAAAGACAAGCAGAAATAAACAAGGACAAGACATTTAATTATGTGGATGCTTACGTACTGTTTTACTATTAAAAAATGCTTTGCCTGTAGTGTGCAGTTATAAAAGCATGTGAATTTGAATGCAACCTCGATGTCTTCGCACATTTTGTGTTTTCGAACATGAACACAAAGCAATTAACAGGCCATATGCGTGTTCTCATGACCCTGTCATCGAGCACCATTTATCACTAGCACAAACACACAACACGTTACAAAGCAACCCAAATTCCAACGACTGTGACATATGTTTGCTGTTGGCATGAAGAACGGGGAGTGCGTACGGGCTCCTTTGGGAACGTCAAAGGCCTAGGCTCGAAATTACAGTTCCATCCCTAACTGCACAAACGCCACCTGACATATGGTGAAACGAACAAGGCGGCCCTACTTCCTAATATTTTCACTATAGAGCCCTGGCCCTCTTCCGCCATTGTAAATGGCGGAGGAGAGATGCACCTCTATTTGAGGCTGATTAGCCGCTGGCTTTCATAGCGGCCCATCCCCACCTGCCCGATTCCCAGATAGCAAACTACGGCGCTCAAAGCCGCTCGCTGTGAACACAGCATCTACAGTGCAAGCGGATGAGAGCATGGCATGTGTTTGTGTAAGCAGCAGGGAATGAGGCAGGAGAAAGGGGCTCTTCTCTTCGGCTGAGGGCGGCGGTGTGGCACAGACTGGCCTCTTTCAGGCCCTCAACAGGACATTACAGATCAGCTGGGCTGACGCCTTTTATTTTCCTTCCTCTGCATGACTCCCTCTGCATATTAGAATAATCACTGGACATGTTTTTCAACGCTGGACACGCATACACATACACACAAAGAAAACAAGACGGAATATAAAAAGGTCAAAGAGGAAAGAAAACTTAAAACAAAAAAGTCTTAGTGTGTACAAGGTTGGGCGATATGTTAAATATTAACAATATACTCCATATGATTTTGCTGGAGAAATACACTTGAGCATCAGTAAAAAAATCTTTATTTGATTTTATTTACCAATAAAGCCAATCTTTCTTTGGCTTTATTTGACTGACTTTGGGGGGGGGGGGGGTTAAAAAGTAAAACCATTTAGAATTTAGAAAAAAAAAATATATATATTTTTAAAAAATAAATCAATATAATTTTAAATGAAAAAGACGTTTTAAACTCATAAGCATACACATAAGAATAACAACATCATATGAAAATCCTGCAAATTTCAATATGTAAGCACGCACGCACGCACGCACGCACACACACACACACAAAATAAAGAAACAGAGGAAAAAGGGTACTGGACAATGACTGGTAAGTGCGGCACCAGAAAGACTGACACAATATCGACAACACGACTGCGGTTTCTTCAGAACTGAGCCGGTGCGGTCTGCCAGCAGTAAACACAGTCCAAGCAAAGCCATAAGAATTTCACATGAAAGAAACAGGAGCCACTAATGTAAACATGAAGAAAAATTAAATGACCCAGTCTAAACTTTCAATCAGGCAAATCGGACAAACCAACAGAAAGATTCAGAAACGTCCTGTCAAATAAGGCCTGAATCTCTGAAACCTGACAAGAACACTTGCTAATGGCACAGTTAAAGATGTAAGCATGAATCTTTTTCAGGTAAACTGTTCTGGTTGCCATTAATGCATTATGTCCACTTCAGTGTTTGTTGGTAAGAAAGCATCTGTTAAGACATGAGGCCACACACTGCTCCCTGTATATCCGGGAGAGAGGTGTTCAGATTCAGCTGATTGTTGCTTCCAAATGAATGGCAGTCTACAGGTGTGTGTCATGTATATTAAAGCCATCGAAGTCAATTCAAGACTTCCGCTGTCGAGCTCAGGAAATTACAGGCAAACACACCACTTCATCTCCATAAACAGAAGGTGGAGTGGTTGTCATGGCAACCGGAACAATCACCCTGTGCGGTCCAGATAAGGTGGACCACTGCTTTGAATCAATGCTCTGATAAGGTGTGCCCAGCTAACTCAAAGCTGTGCTGTATTCTGTCACAACAGAACATGGGAATATTGCATTAATGACCCTGCCTGTTTTTATCGATTATTTTCTGACTTGACATGAAAATGAAATACCATCTCAGAAACATGCAAATGTTAAAGCTAAAGCACGAAAATCTATAATTTGCATGTGTTTTTAAAGGGATAGTTCACCCAAAAATGAAAATTATGTCATTAATTACTAACCCTCATGTTGTTCCAACCCCGTAAGACCTTCGTTCATCTTCGGAACACAAATGAAGATATTTTTGATTAAATTTGAGAGCTGGATCACTCCTCCATAGGCTTCCAAAGGGAGTGAAACTTGACGGCCCAGAAAGTCATTGAAGAAAATGCGACGAGAATACTTTTTGTGCGGAACACAAAAAAACAACAAAAATAACGACTTTATTCGACTATTCCTTTTCTTCCTTGTGGGCCTGAGAGGAGAGTTCAAGAGATTTCCACGACGCATGCGCGAGAACTGAGAAGAGGACGTTCTTCTTCTACTACTTCTTGTTCAGTTCTCGTGGAAATCTCTTGAACTCTCGTCTCAGGCCCACAAGGAAGAAAAGGAATAGTCGAATAAAGTCGTTATTTTTGTTTTGTTTTCCCGCACAAAAAGTATTCTCGTCGCTTGATAAACTTATAGTTGAGCCACTGTAGTCACATGGACTATTTAAACATTTTCTTCAATGACTTTCTGGGTCGTCAAGTTTCACTCCCTTAGCCTATGGAGGAGTGATCCAGCTCTCAAATTTAATCAAAAATATATTCATTTGTGTTCCGAAGATGAACGAAGGTCTTACGGGGTTGGTACAGCATGGGGGTGAGTAATTACTGACTTAATTTTCATTTTTGGGTGAACTATCCCTTTTTCATTTTTGGGTGAACTATCCCTTTAAGTCTTTTAAGTCAAGTTTTTAAGTAAGTTTAAGTCTAGCGATTTTAATTTGTTCAAGCGCAATAAGATGCAAAAGAGACTAGTCTGGCATTCAACAACCAGCCCATTCAACAACCAGCCCAAGTCAGCTTATAACCTGTAGACCAGTCTAGCATCCAACAACCAGTCCAAATCAGCTCACAATTTGTGGACCAGCCCGGCATCCAACAGCCAGCCAAAGTCAGCTCACAGCTTGCGGACCAGTCTGGCACCTAAACAACCAGCCCAAGTCAGCTCGCCATCTGTGGACCAGTCTGGTATTCAACAACCAGCTTAAGCCAGCTCACAGTATGTGGATCAGTCTGGCATCCAACAACCAGCCTAAGCCAGCTCACAATCTGTGGACTAGTTCGGCATCTAACAACTAGTCCAAGCTAGCTCAAAATCTGCGGACCAGCCCGGCATCCAACAACCAGCCAAGACGAGCTCACAATCTGTGGACCAGTGTGGCATATAACAACTAGCCCAAGTCAGCTTACGGTCTGTGGTCCAGTATGGCATTCAACAACCAGCCCAAGTCTGTTCACAATTTGTGGACTGGTATGGCATTCAACAACCAGCCCAAGGCAGCTTACGGTCTGTGGACCAATTTGGCATTTAACAACCATCATATGCCAGCTTACAATCGGCAGACCAGTCTAGTATCCAATAACCAGCCCAAGTCAGCTCATAATCTGCGGTCCAGTCCGGCATCCAAAAACTAGCCCAAGCCAGCTTACAAACTGTGGACCAGTCTGGCATTCAACAACCAGCTTAAGCCAGCTCACAGTTTGTGGACTAGATCTCAGTGGTCTGCGTGTAGCACAAACTGGCTACTAGTCTGTGGACCATCCTAGTGGCCTGCAGTCAGCATAAACCAGCTCTCAGTCTGTGTCCCAGCCCAGCAGTTTGCAATCAGCACATTCCCGTTACCAGTCTGTAGACCAGCTCAGTGGCCTGCAGTCAGCACAAACACGTTATCAGTTACCAGTCTAAAGTTATAAAAAAAAAAAAAAAAAAAAAAAAAAAAGTTGCCCTCCGAAGAGGGGGGGTGGAGGTAAAAAAAAAAAAAAAAAAAAACAGATGCAAAAGAGAACTGAATGGACTACTTGCACAATTACTTCTGCGTTCTAGTTAGTATATATCAGGAGTTTCCCGTTAGAGCGTTCAGCGCACCTACATACATGAGAATGCAGATTATCACTATGTTTTATGGCTGCCAATTGATTAAAACAATGAAAAATGATCTCTGTATTAGACTAATTATCTTGAGCCTGCTGAAATGTTCCTACACATATATTTTCTTTCCAACTGTGCATTCTGAATAATAAATAGGCTCAAATGTATCCACTAAGCTGCAGCAGTCCCATATGCTTGTCTTCTCATTAACAGGTCTTTTCTCTTTCTGACATTTCATACCTGTTGGGTTTACATTTTTAAATGAAATTGACTATTAAAAGGATTACTTGTGTGCACTGGTGTTTATTCCAGTCCTTTAAAATAGTTGAATGAATGAATGCTCGCGAGGTGCCTGTAACAATGTTAAATAGGCTAGGCTATTTAAATCAATAACGCACACAGCGTAGAGGAGAATGACAGTCAACTACTTTGAATATTATAGCATTTTGGGCATAACATGTAAATAGTGAAAAGATTGACATTGAAAAATGACACCGAATGATTCAAATATTTAATCCAAATAAATAAATGTTCGTGGTTCGTACTGATGTTATTCATCTGTTCTCATACACTTCAGCGTTG